ACTACAGCTACTACCACTCACAACAACAACAATTACTACTACTGCTACTACTACTACTGCTACTACCACTACCACTACCACGACGACTACTACTTTTACTACCACTACTACTACTACTACTACTATTTCTACTTCTACTTCTAAAACTACTTCTACTTCTTACTACTTCTTTTCTTACTACTACTACTTCTTACTACTACTACTTCTTACTACTACTACTACTACCACTACTACTACTACTACTGCTCGGACTAAGACTACCACTACTATTGCTACCGCAACGACAACAACAACAACTACTACTACTTCTCCTCCTCCTGCTGCTGCTGCGCCGACTAGCAGATTATTCAGGGGAGGTGGACCTCATGAGTAGTCTCTCACATCTTCTTGACCTTGTTGACCTACCATGTGGGGTTATTCATCAGGTTTTTACATTACAGGTGTTTGCGACGTACAAGGGTAAAGAATGATCGTATGAACCCTCTTCTTATATTATACATATTATCTATACAAAGTATATATATATAGTATATATATAGATTGCGAAGTAGATAGTATAGCGATTTTGATACACGTCAGCTTCTGTCAGGAGCGACTTGCCGGTTAGAGACCACAAAACAAAACCTCATCATTGCTTCTGCGGTTGCCCATCCCTCCGCTCGGAGTTGTCTGAGCATGGCATCGGTGAGTCAATTGTCCGCCGGCCGTGGCCCAGCATTTTGGCCCCCGCCCTCTAATCCACTTTTATGTGGTACCCCGGCATGTATCAGTGAGGCTCGCCTCCTTGTGCCCCAAGTCAAGCCCAGCTGGCAAAGGGTTATGAGTGAAGATCAAGACCGGTATTGCAGAAGGAGTTGGTGTTGCTTTTCTGCCACTGTTGAACCTTTGCCAGTAGTGGATCGGGCCAGTTTAATCTCTTTTGGAGATATGAGCCGGTGGCGAACCTTCTGAAATTCTACGACGATGCCCAGGACACAATGTACAAAGTGCTAGTGCTTAAAATATGCCCGGGGCTGGGGTCATTTTACCCTGAGCCAGGGTCCTCTCCAGGTATGTTTTCTAGTTTCACCTCTTGGCCACTTGGCGACCTAAACAACCAACCAATTTGATCGATGTATGATATCTAGCCGCTACAGATCTGGAAGGACCTGTATGATGTCGCGCATGGATGAAGTATTTTCGACATGGGCATTTGTAGCTGTAAGAGCTGGCTCAGCAAATCAGCAAATCCGGCATGCTCGCCTGCACGTCGATGGAACCCAACCCTCATGAGTGGGGGGTGTTCAGACCCCATATAACACCGGAGCAGATGCTGAGATGGGGTTCAGGTCAGCCAAGTTCACAAGAGGTTGGAAGTCTCATGACATGACATTGAGATGATTGGAGCAGCTGGTGTAGAAGATGGAATCGAAGATGCCAAGGGCAGACCTTGGGCAACGTTTTTCTTTGGGAAGCTCGGTACTCCTCCGCACTCTCAGTTCCACGTGCGGAATTGTGCTGTAGATAAGTAGATGTTCGTTGCAAAGTCAGTAGTGAGAACGACGGCCGTCAAATTGAGGTATACGGACAAAATACGTGTATTCTACACAGCCGGCGCAGCTATGTTCCGTATAAGGTCAACCAGCTATAATTCAACATACACTACATTCTGGTTGACTTGTTGAACTGGAACATGTTGGCACAGCCGGCAGCTTCAAAAACCTGCACCGGTGGGGGAAGGTTCCTGCGCACCCTCCGACGAGGGAGAAGGCGGACTGGGGTGTGCCGGCCCATCCCAGGAGGTTTTTGTTCCTACCAAAGAGTAGCTTTTGCTGTTCTTTTTGAGGTCTGGTGCCCTGTTTTTTGTCCAACTGCAACCATTTTGTTCCCCCCTGTCCTTATGCCCAGCACAGACAGAAGCTGATTGCACCTCCTGATGCTTTGCCATGCGGACGCGGGCCTTGCTGTGTGGGCACGCTTGGCATTGTTCAGTGCGATGGCGGGGATGGATCGCTTGCAGATCCTTGGATGAAAGATGAAACCCGGAGAGTTTTGAGGCAGCCCCTATCAGGAGCACAGAGTTTTTTTCTTTTGTATTGTATCCTTTTGTTCCTTCTCATCACTAATTTTGGCATCCTTTTGCACCCTTATTCTTGGCTTACGCGATCTTACAGTCGTTTTCTTCAGGGGACAGCGCTTCAGCTGCCCATGGATGGGCTTGTTTAAAATCACCCGTCAGACGATTTCGTGAAGGTGAGAATGCCGCACACGAAGGCATCTGGAGCGAAAAGGGGCGCACGGTGGAGGACCCCCCCGACCACTTCGGATGCTGAAGAGCACCAACTCTGTGCTCTCCAAGTAGCTATTCAGTCAGTGCTTCCCAGCTTCTTTGGAACATGTCTTTTTGCGAACCTCCCCCGAAACACCGCAGCAAATATTCCATGGAGACTTGGATGGTCTTGGATGGAATATCGGTGGTTTTGAAGCGCCAAAAGCCACTCGCAAGAGGACCCAGGAGGGAGTTGTTGTTGAAGCCTGGCATGATGTTCTGGTATGAGGTCGGTTTCAAGGGCACAAGAGGTCAGTTGAAAGCCGAGGATACTATTTGAGAAGGTTTGATCTTATTTTGGTACTAGAGTTACTAGAGGCTTCTGTTTGCAACCCTCCCCAGCTGAAATTTTGAGGAATTCCTTCTATAGGTGGGAGGATCACCCATCCACATCAATCTCTTGAGATGCAAGCCCTAGTCTAGCACAACAGGAGCCTACACTGGTCTATCATTATCTATATAAACAATTATAAACAATATAAAACCACAAACCACATATTTGCATTCAGAAAATGATCATCCAACAGGGCCATAGGCCATACCATCCACTTCCATGATCATTTCAGGGAGTAGACGATGATTGATCACCATGGCAGTATCCTCTATGAAATGGGAAGAATGTACCCACCATGTGTGGTTTTACGACCCCCCTACGCCTAGAGAAAACTGTTTGTGCATGATGTCGCCACTGCGTGTTGTAATTTTCCTTGAGATTATATAAGACAGATCAGGTAGACTCGAACGAGGTTTTTGAGTGTTCTAGTAAGGTGGTTCAATTTAGGGTCTTCCTGCGTGTTGGCTCCACCGTTTTATGTCCAAAAAATTGGCCTGCTGGACCCCCTACCCAAATGATAAGATGATGACACTTTAATACGGATTCCATTGATGTTATAAGTTATAACCGAATCATTGTGCACATTATTGGGACGCAAGTGTATATATATATATATGCTACCCACCCCAAGTACCACCGTTTTTCTTCAAGTGCAGATAGACCAGATGACTGCATTTTCATGTCACAGCAAAAAGACACTTGCATATGTATTGCGTAGGATGCACCAGATGACAGCAGACGATACACTTACAGTTGCATGCTAAAGCTCACCAGATGACAGCAGACGATATACTTACAGTTGGATGCTACAAAGCCAGGCGAGACTTAAAGAGCCGCCAAACATGATCAATGATTTGGGTGCCTGCCTTCACCTTGATGACTTTCCCTGAATCTGGCAACTTGTGTTTGCGCAGAGACACATATTTGGGAGCCATCCCCACCCATTTGCCCTTGACCTTGACGCGGGGGTACCATAAATGGGGGTACATGGGGGGGGGTACCATATATATATATATATAATATATATGTTACATCGCTGCTTAGATTTTTCACTCATATTTTAAACTGAGGATGGAGCTCTGGCTCTCGTTCTGCGAACGAACCCAATGCCTCCCTGATGTCGCCGCGGGGTACTGAGCAGGTCGTCGGTGGGATTGCAGGGCGCATGGCCCCAAAAGCACGTTCAAATGAGCCACTCTATAAACCTCCCTGTTCATGTTTAGTGGTGTGCTTGTCATATGATTGTGCCTGTTATCATTTAATGACAGTCAAACTTCGATTGGAGTTGGTCGAACGTGGTGGTGTCTTTCGTGTTTTGAGACCTCGGTCGTTGGGAGCTAATAATCAAAACCTGGACCACCATGTAGTGAACGATGCCGGGTATGTCTATGAAGGTATCGTGGTTTGGACCCACAGCGATATGGCGATATGGATATAGGGAGACCCTCGTGTGACCCTCTGGAAGGAAAATGAACCACAACCCATTGGTTTTTTACCTATTGAATGCAAACCCACATGAACAAATCGTAAGGGTTGGAAATGACACCGCACTGGTGGCAAAGTTTCATGCCACGTCCTGTCCAATCTTGAGATGTCTTCAGGATTTCTTTTGCAGCAAGCAGGAGGTTTCTTTAGGGACAGGTAGGGCTGCGGCGAATGCCAGGATGAATTCCAATGTAAGAAATGTGGAAGGAAAATATGAAGGTTCCGATAAGACCTGAAAATAGCTCGTATTTGTTGGTTGACATCTAGAATCCCAAACCCACAACCGAAACCAGCACTCCGCAAGCACATGGTATCCCAAAGGATTTCCGCAAACCTGTTAACCCACTCCCTCAAAACCGCCTGTGAATGGTATAATGATGATCTCCTCCGATCCTGTCAAGTTAGGTGTACCTTCCTGGACACTCGGTGTGGGCACAGCGAACAGCACCCTTCGTTTACGCCATCCGTGTGTGACGTGAACGATTTGATGGTGCTGAGTGGCTGAGTTGCAAGTTGTGGGGTGAGTGGTGTCTATGTTCTACACGCAGTGCCTGCCTCACTATTTGACCAGAGTTGAGCCTGCAAAGCTTTGTGTAAGATGTATCATACTTACAGCGCGTTTCAATGACGGGGATTATTACAAAGCTTTGTCAATGAGAGACTTCATAGTCATGGTCACCACGAAAGGTGGTGTAGCTGTTTTGGTGTTTCAGCGAAGAACATCTGGCAATGGTGAGCATCCTGGTGGAATGCCCCATTTGGTCTTCTTACGCAGCTGCCCCACGCTTTCAGACCTAGGCCCGGCGGAGCAGCGGCAAGCAAGCCAACGCTTCTGGAACTTCTTGATCACTGATGAGATAAGCCGTGAGAACTTTTCACAGCGGAACATCCCACTCTTTATGTTGCAGCCTGAGATGGCCGAAGGCACGTGTTTAATTGGCCGGGTGATAGTGGGCGCGCGTTTTCTGTTTCTTTTCTTTGTTGGGGGGTGTGGAGAATACAAGATCGTGTTTTGAGTTGAGAAGGCGGTGCAGGCGAAAGTTGCAAATAACACGCCAGCAACATTTGATGTCTCTTATATTATATCACTTATCATTTGCCGTGTTTCGCGTGGGAAGCGAGGTCTGTTGTCGCTTCGTTTCCTGTCGCTTCTTGCGTTTCAGCAGGGCCGCTTGACTCACATGATCAGCCTAATGAGATGAACAGGGAGGTCGGGTCCAGTCAACGGGATTCAGAAGAACATCCGGTTCGGGGGCGGAGTTCTCAACATCCGGATCTCGCAAGAAGGGCACCCGGTGGTCGACCATCCGTTCGGATGGCATGTTCTTGACGAAGAAGTGGTGTTGTTTTGAAGGCCTTGAGTCGAGTTGTTCGCGCTGCTTGTGCAGGTTATCACGAGCACCTCATGGCAGCAACTGAAGACACCTTTGCTAGCGATCAGAATGTGCAGCATTTGTCCCTTGTCACGGTTGCATCACTGCAGACTGCAGTGGGGACATTTGCGGGTAGATGATGATTTGACTCATCATTCATGCCCCCATTTGAAGGGCAGAGACGGACTGTGGGAGGTGCCTTAGAGTTGCTTAGGCCATTTCTCAAGAAGTGGTGCTTGGACGTGTTATTGAACCCTTTTCTTTGAGGCGATATAGCCCGTTGGTTGAGTCAATGCATGTCAATTTCTACAAATTGTACGACTGTACGTATGGTTGAGGCGATTGGCATCGCCCTAATTATGACAAGCTCCAAAGAAATGCGTTTGCACACCTGTGTAGGGTATGAGGTGACTGACGAATTTGGAACGTAGACGCATTTAAATTTGTTGTGTAGACGCCTCTCCCAAGAAAACACATCGCACGGAAGTTGGCAATGGTCCCCAATCAGGCGACCGTGGAACCGAGTCGGAGTGGTTTTTGTGTCCGGCGGTCGCCAAGTCAAGCACGGACCTGGAAATGGATCAGAAGATTTTGTGTGCTGCAAGATTTAAGGGCAAGGTGAAACTGGAGGTCTATCTATAGGCCTTTTCCAATGGAGACCCCTATTGATTTGATTGGTGGCTCGTTGGACTGGGAACGGACTTGTCATCTCCAGTACCTGATTTAAATTGGCACAGCAGATGGCCAATCCATTGGAATTGGGCTGGTCTGGCATGCTCTGGCAGCCCCAAGACTTTGATGTGGAATCTGCAGATGGGACGAAGAAAATGCACTGGAGGGATATATCCAAGCACCTCAGCCTGATATGTATCCCATATGAGCCCACCATCATGCCTGGCCCGGCGCCAGGCAAGTGCTGGTGCCCTTTTTGTCCGGAATGCCGCTGGACGATCGGGAGTCAAGAGAAGCGTTCGAGGACACGCGTGAGTTCCTCGTGGACACGACTTGACGCACCAGCTGGGTTGAAGGCACTCGTGAACGGCAAAAGGAAGCAAAACTCTAATCTCCTGGACTACCTAGATAGGGCATGAAAAGAGCGGTCTTGTGGAATTCTTCCAGCTCCTTCTCTCACCTTCATCTCACAAATACAAGCAGACCATATGCCGCTTATCCGAAAGATGATCTTACCCAGACACGGTTTCAGGGGGTCAATGTGGGCATATATTCCATACATGGATGACAAGAGCTGTGGTCCATTGTGGTCCTGTGGGTTTCAGGGGTCAATGTGGGATGACAGGAGCTGTCATCTTTGGCCTTTTCCTTCCTCGAGTCTCACTACGCCGAGCCCTTGGCATCCTACCGTCGCGCCCGCCAGCTGGCAGACCTGCGCTCGCCCGAGCGGTGGTTCGACCGCGGGGGGTCGCGCCGGTGGCATTTGCACTTGGGAGTCACGAAGCTTTGGATGTCTTAAGGGGTCAAGGGGTCTCTTGAGCTGAAGGACGGTGCTCTTTTTGGGTGGTTTTGAAATGTTTTGCCAGGGAGAAGAGATGGGTAGGAACGGGTTGGATCTTCCGTGTCCAGGGAGCCAAGAAAGTCCTTAGAAGTACAGCGTGGAACTGGGGTAGAGGCTCACAAGGCTGCCTGTCAGTAGCGTGTAGCCGAATGACGGTGGAGGCTCTCGAGCCTTCAACAGCAATCTTCTCAAGCTAAGGAACAGTGGCAAGACTCATCATGCACTGCAGGAGTTGTTCGCCGCCCCATCTGGGCTGTATATGGCTCCGTTGCGGCTGTTGGCTTGGGAATCTTGGCGCGTCATTCGTTGACTCGGGTCTATGGTTCTTCCGAAGGATGATGCTGACAATCGGACGCGCGATTTCCCTGTCACGATCTATTTACGAGTATTTACGCGTCACGTACACATCGCATATCATCATACAATGTATCATAATTTTGCCCTGTGCTTGTTGAGATGATTGTAACTTTGAAGGCGGTTGCCTTCCCAAAAGCCAACATAGCAATGCAACTAAAGGGTTTGGAAATGTTTGGAAGATTGTTTCCTCTAACATGTGTGACTTTATGACTCACGCGAGACGTTCGGGCTGCTGGAGCTGTAGTTTCCAGGACTGGTTCTAAGCTGCTTATGAGGTACAATCATGGTCAAGGTCCGCGGGACCAACTAACATGTTTCTGGTAGAACGTCATTTTTTGTATCATGCGATCCCGCCATCGCAAGACCAGTTAGCACCATCTCAGACACATCCCAAGAAGGTGTGCCCAGCCCATTGCCACAAGTAGTGCAAGGCTACAGCTGAGCCTGGTTGAAATGGCCTCGTAGATGTTTAGATGTTCGCATCATCTCCATATCACTGTTGCCGAGATGCAAATGATGTTTTGATAGGCTTCACTTGCATCCTTTCACTTTTGGGAGGGATGGGACTATGGACTATGGGACCTCCAAAAACTACTATGAATAATACTTCTCGGTCCACTCCAAGACGTATACCCGATCCTCTTGGTCTGGGATCAGGAGATCTTCCAGAAGCTGCGCGCAGCGGGTGTGCGCTGTGCTTTGCTCACAGGGCAGGAGCGTTTGGGGCCCGACGATGCCACTCATGCAGCGCCGGCACAACTGGGGGGGAAGGAGTTCACGGACAAAAGTCACTGGGGCCCTGCAGGATGGGTTGTTGTGGGGCCGGCAGGGAAGACCATGAGTCTTCGGAAGACTTCCAGGAAGATATCCTCCCCTTTCCTTCCTTCATTCAGTGACCTTTTGACTTCGCCTTCGTCATGGAGCTCATGAAGTCGGACTCCAGCGAAGGATCCCCATGGCTGGGCGCCAGAGGGAAGGGGGCCAATGAAACTCAGAAGGAAGGCCTTGAGATTGCCGAGGTAGTTGTTGAGGTGTTGGCTCAGTTGTTCCCGAATTTTTTTGTTAAGAAGATGTGGGGTGTAGGAGGGGGGAAGGCATATCACCTCAAGGATGACCATACCTCGACCAGGGACTCGATCTGGGCTCGCCGTTCCACCTCCACTCAGTTGAGGTGGCTTGCACCGTTGAGATGGCGCCACTGACGAGACACTGGCAGGTGGCGGTTTTGGATGAAGTTCAACTGGTCACCGATGCCAATCGAAGCTCGGCATTCCCGCAGGGGCAGGGGGGATGGAAGCACAAGTCCACAAGTCAACAAGCTACTTGCAGCAGGTTGAAACTCCACTCAATTTCAGAGCCAGCATTTTTGTTCAACCAAGGTCATCCAAGGTCTTCTTATATAGGACTAGGAGCTATTTGTTATACCACATAACTCATTCATCACCTTTGAGAACTCCAAACAGGCAACGCCGAGGCGAAACCAATACGCCACCTCTCAGCCACCTCTCGCCTCTCGCTAGGTGGCTTCGCTTGGACCAGGGCCCTGTTGGGGGTCAACGCACGGCAGCTGCACCTCTGTGGTGCTCATGAGCCCGCCACGCCCCTTGAAGATGACCAGAAGTAAAGGGCCGAGAAATCGATGATCCATCGAGATCTGCACTGAAGAGGGGTGACCGCATAGGACCTGCGGTGACCGGAGGACACGCGCGGTTGGATCCTTAGGGCATGGAAGGATCACTGCATGATTTGTCGTATTTTTTGGGGGTTGGTCTCATGGTCCCATAATGTCCCATACTTGGCCGAGGCCGAACGCAACCTCTTGCAACCCACGGTGAAGACTGTTTGGAATGACCGCAGCGGGGGGTCTGAACCATGGGAGTTTTTCTCGGTTTGAGGAGTGGTTGAGTGGGTGGAATTGCAATCTTTGAATTGATTATATTCACAGCAGCTCTAACTTTTAACGTTTGAAACACGTCGTCGTTTGGCAGTGAATAACATGAAATGCAAAGTAGTCCAAAACAGCATGGCAGCCATACCATGGGACAGGTAAAGCAGCTTGGAGTCGACCAGGGAATTTCCTGAGGCTTGAGAATCTTTTGCATGATTTGGCAGCGTCTTGCTGCTTGGCCTTGCTTCAGTGGGGGCAATGTGGGGTAGATGCAGTATCTCAAAACGATTAGTTGAGAATTTGGACGACATTCACTTAGTTTTGTTGTTTGAATATATGGAACTTCAAGGTGTTGGGAACCGGTAGATGCTCCACAGTTTTTCTTAGCAAGTATGCTACAAGCATCAAGACAATTACATCAAGCGGGCTTGGCCCTTCCTGAGCACGTCCAAGAGTTCAGCCAAGGACTAGAAGTAATTCAAATCGCCAAGCCAAGGGAGAAGAACAACGGTCTATTGATGAGACCTTGACGAGCAATCCCTGTTCACTGGATTGACGGAATTGACTCCTCTATTGACGGAATTCGCAACAAATCCTGAAAACAGTCCAAGATCCTGCCTAGGTGGTGACACCGTTCGCACGGTGGAACATTTCAAGCAGCGGCTGGTACCGCTGCAGTTGCAAGATGACCCCGTCGCGGACTTCTCAGCACTACAGGCGCTTGAGCTACGGGAAGGCTCCGGATGGTTCTTCATTGGAATCAAAGAGATCCTGCACCACACAAAATTGAACACGCAAGATTTTGTGTGATCTTTTGGCAAACTTGGGGCACAGGAGTGCAAACGTCCTGTGGGAACCGAGCACGGTTTTGACCACGGGTTGGGAGTCTCAATTCACATGGATTTCGGCGTCGTTGGGGAGGCAGTCAGCGTGACATTGGTTGGCATGTCCTTGGGTGTTTCAGGTACCTCTATCCTGCCGACTGACAAAGATGACGATCGAGCCATTCGATTCGCGATGATTCAAGCTCCACCCTTAGGATTTGCATGGAATTGCAAGACTTGACCTTGCTCGCCCCCCAAAAAATCGCGCGGACTATCTGAAGATCAGATGTTGGGTCAATGGGGTTCCCACTAAGAACCAGGACCTTTCTGCCCACCTTCTGGAGCATGAAACCAGCACCCAAACAACCGTCGCCCCGCTCGCGTCAGGACGGTGACTGCCTGGCTCGGGCGCTCGGGGTCGTGGTCGAGCGATTTGATGGTTCTGTGTAATGCGAAGACCGGATTAATACCCCCCCCCCGTGGAAGGTCTAGAAGGTTTATTAATCCTATGTTTGCATTCGGGTGTGTAGCCAGATGTAGCCCAGTACACCAGTGACAGTAGGAAAAAAATCATATCACGATCTTTGAGATGTCGGCCTGCAACCTAGCCATCATCATCCACTGAAACCTGGTAATGGGATATATCCAGATTCTGTCATTGGTTGCAGCGGGGACTCGTCAGGGAGTGGTGAGAGGAGGGGGAGGAGTCTTGAACCATTTTGGGTCAGAACGCTCACGTCGAGTGGATGAAAACACACACACACACACATATATATATATATATGCAAACTATAGTTCCTGGTCGTATTCAAGTTTGTTCAATCACGGCTTGCGCATTTCAACAGATAATTTGGCAGGAACGACATGGCAATCAGCAGCTATATTCATTCATCCTCATTATCCAGCCCCTCATCCATACACTTTCCACCTAGACCTAGCATATGACTTTGGACATGGGAACTCAAGCTGCTTTGACCTGGATGGATTACAGTAACCGAGGGGCGAACTCCGGGCGAACCTGAAGAGCCTTAGATATACATGGTTCTCATCACGCGTCGCAGCAATTGGTCAAAGAACTGAAGAATCTTGGTGCAGAGGTGAAGAAGGCACCGGAGACGTTTGGGGCACCCAGGGCTGATGAGTCTAAGCCATGTTGATGCCTGGCATCATTGCAGATCATTGCAGATTGGAAGACTCAGATGTGTACTTAGATGAGTTGGTTCCTTTGTTTGGTCTTGTGCGTTCTTCGGTCTCAACAAAAGTCGAAACCGCTTTGCAGAAGATTTGGGCAGCTCTAGCCCGGGCATTTTGGTCTTGCCACTCCCAATCAGATCCATATCGATTCTGGCTTCCACCAGTTCCACAAGTGGGTCTGACACCTTGCGGCTGGCGAGCCACCATTCCCTGAGGTCTGCTTCACAAGGGCCGAGGTTCTGAATGCCAAAGCTCAGCTCGAAGCATTGGGCAAGCGACGCTCGGGCCAAACACTGGGACGCTCAAGGATCGGTGGGGAACATGGAACACGAGGATTGCTGTGACCTTGTGAAAGAATGCAAATCTGATCAAACCAGAGGGGATGACATGGGGATACACTTTCGATTGGAGATGGTTGGAGGAAAAGAGTATGTAGCGCCTGAGATCGTGAACGGTATGCTTATATATAAATAGTTAGTTCCAGTGTGTTTGGTGCCAAGTGTTGTTTGATATCGAAGCTACTTCTGTCAACCAATAAACGTGCGTTGGATCGCATTGGGGCCCAAGAAGTTCCCGAAATACAGGGGAGTTGCTTTTACTTTACTCCTCTTTTAAACTATAGGGCGAAGCTGACCGACCAGACAGTGTTGGGGTGACCTTCCTACCCAGACAGAAGCGCTGATGTTGCAGCCACTCTCTTGTATGTTCCAACACGTCTCTTTCTTGGACAAAACAAGCAATGCGTATCAAAAATTACAAAGATACACACAATAATTAAGGTCAATATTCTTAGCTGCGCCCAATTTGTGCCACGTTGAACGCTAAAGAGATCCCAAAAAATCGACCACCTCCCCCGGTACCACCTGGACCTCTCCTCTTTCGACGCCCTGCTCTACCACACTGCTCTCCCACGTAAGGGCCCTGTGTGGTCTACGGCTCGCTGCCACCGGAAGTGCGGCAAGAGCAGGCGAGGAGAGCCTCCGAGGGGGCGGAAAGATGCCTTCGGCACCATAAAGGCACCAAGGAGCAGGAACCAGAGATGTGGCACAGGAACCTGCAGTGTTATGTGTGACACATACACATACGTACATACCAGTCGTTTTTTGTGCTCTGCGTGTGTGTAATTATAGATCGAACATGATCGAACTGGTTGTTTTGGCGGTTGACAATACGAGGAGATGAGCGATGGATAGCAAGAAGGAGAGAGCGAAGAAGTCATTGTGGACTGTTGTCGCAGCATTCGAGTGACAGCCATGAGGTAGGATCCAAATCATTATCCTACTACACCTACAGCTTCTTCAATCTTCTAGAAAGTCATGTTAACATCAGAGTTAACATGGCACATGATGTGAAATACATCTTTTGAGCTTTGGCATTTTGCTCATGAAGTGTTCTTCTCCAAACATGTTTTGCAAACGTTGGAAAGCCCGAAAAGACGGTTCGTGTGAGGCGTTACTGTTCAACGACCCCAACAGCGGTTACGACGTCCTGGTGGCCTCGGACGCCATTGCCTTGGGACGCTGGGTTGAGCGAGCGGGCATGAGTTCATGAAGAGTAGAGGTAAAGGGCATGAGCTCATGAACGTTAGATTCATGGACACTTGGAGATGTTTTTTGGAATACTTTTGTAAGTGGAAGTTGAATGAAGTTGATACTATTTCATACTAGCTTCGACTTGTATCAACTTGTTTGATTCTTAGCTTGGAGAGCGGACCCTAGTAATCAGAAGAAATCTCAACAGCTTGGCATTTGACCTCTGACAGTCGCCCGAGGATTAAACCTGCAGATTCGTCGGATGTTGTTTCGCTCCACCTGGAAGTTCGACGCTGGGCATCACCGGATGGCGGCGGAGGGAGGCGGGGTGGAGGCCGCTTGGGGAGGGGTGCTGCGGGGGAGGCCGGCCTGTCCTGAACAGGGGAGTTCAGGCTCGACTCATTTCTTTGGCCACTGAGTCGATTCAATTCAAGCATCAGTTGTGGGCACTCCAGGACAACGATGCACTAGACTTGACGACATGACTTGTGTTGAGCTGGGTCAGTAGCTGTGTGTGGAAGTCCAGCTGCTTTCTGTAGACGTGAAAGCAATCCAGAAACGCACCGGAAAGCATCCATTGCAAAACGCGTTGATGCGGTGTGAGCGTGAGTCGACTGAAGCCAAGCAAGCACAAGGCTCCACCCAAGGAGAAGTGGATAACTTTAAACATCCATATAACCTTTTTGGGGAGATTGGGTTTTCCCCGCTATACAATATGAACATATTATGAAATCAGATATTAAATGATGAACATATGGAACAGATGGGCCTGGGACAGTTCGGTTCACCTGTTGTTCGGACTCCGCGTGTGTGTTTTTTTGGCATCCGGCAGAAGAGCTCCATCTCGCATTTGCTCCATGCTCCTCTGCGCCGGTTTGCGCCGAGGACGGCTCGGAATACCGGCAGCTCAGTGGCCCCGAGCTACGGCAGTTGGCCGGGCGAGCAGGGCGCTTTGGGCAGGGCTATGGTCACGGCCTGGTGGCCTGCTGCAGAGGCGGTTTTTTTGGGGGGATGTCCGGCCTGGCAGCATGCGCCGGCGTCCGCTTCTGCGGATTGGACGGGGAAAGGTGGAGAAGGGGAGAATCCACGCTGACCTACTTAGACCAGAAATGTCCTTAGAGGCCATCTTCAACTCGCCGTACGTTGGATCATCGTTGGCCCCGTTCGGGTGCCGGCCAGAACCTCGGACCTTTCGATCACCATTGATCACTGTGATTGGGGTACGGTTTTGGTACCAAATGAGGCACATGTTCTAACATCGATCTGGGTATGCATTCTCAATTTGGGAGATCGACTGGTTTGTTTGTCCTGAAGATGGGGCCTCTCGGTCTCTATGTCGAAAGGGTGATGGGAGGTGAGAGGATGAGCTTCCCCCACTAATTAGGCGAAGTAACTAATTAGGCGAAGTAATTTGGGGATGATGTTGGAGAGCATGACAAAGTCATCTCCGCAGGTGATGACCTGGCAATTCTCCGGGAAGCTCTTGAGGCCTCGTTTAGTTTTTGTTTCGACCTTTGTGTTGTCCGTTGTTGTCAGTCCTCGCGATCCTTCCAACAATCATGGAAGGCCGCAGATGTGCAACATTGAGCATGGTCGAAAACAGGGACCGAACTGTTCCACGTCCATGATAGTTCCAGTCTTTAATCAGGTTGAGTTCGTTTTGCTAGGTGCTCATGAGTCTTAGTAGAAAACGTGCACTCATGGAAATGGGGTTGGTCCAGGTAGCCTTCCATGCCTTGATTTCAGATCCTTTTCAGCACTCCAAACATCCAATTTTGCTTGGTGGGCTGCCGTTGAAGGAGTCTGGAGAAGGAACTCTCAAGGAAGGGGCCTGAGATGCCTCATTCTTCCAGGCAACCTCCAACCCATGCCCGTTTGCACCGATGTTCGAACCGCTTCTTCTTGGCAAATGCTCAGGCCCAGGTGTAGGCTTCGGTGGCTTCACGAACCAGGCCTTAGCCCAAACGTATTATGTATAATTAACTATATATAGTATGTATTAATGTATATTACTCCGCCCTGGTTTGAAGGAGGCCCTCCGAAGACCAAAACTTAATTTACAATCCCTATCCGGGGAAGAACGCATGTTCCAGAAGATGAGTGAACAGAGCGTAGGACTAGTCCTGCAAGACTCATGAAATGAAGGCCAACAGCAGAAGTTTGCTCTATTTGATGTGCTTCTGAGGTTCTCAAGGTTGGGTTGTTGGTAGGTACATCCTCCTTGTTGCTGGGATGCCATGTTCATCCGTTGCAGTGGGCCACTTGGGCGGTGGTTGCTTGTGGCGCTTGCGGCATGGCTTTGTTTGAGTGCTTATACCTATGGATCTCAGCTTACGGCCTTCCTTCAGAAGAAATGGGCTCCAGGACTGCATCCACATCAAGCTGCGAGAGGAAACTCCAGTGACTCCCTTCGGAACACCTCCGCTCCGACTCACGTAGTCCTCCACGCGGTCTCCAATCGGTCGAAGGAAGCGGTGAGAAGACCAAGCACGGGAATCAAAGTGAACAGGATCATGGGGCCAATTCCAAGTCTCGTTCTGGCTGGAGTAGACAAGGGTGGAACCTCTGAAGCATATCAAATGCTACACCAGGAATTCCTGCTGGAAGACGGTGGTGGACAGCACAAAGAATTGGGCTGCTTGTATCAGGTGTCTTCTATTCCTGGCAAGGAGCTTGCAAAGGTTCGAAGTTGCTATTCAGCATTTTTCCATGAGCTTGGCACCAATGCGTCCGAGCACATTTTGCCCGTCGATGCAACACCAAACTATCTCTACTCGAATCGGCTTCACCCATTGGCTTTGTGGCCACCCAAAGTCCTGTCAGTCATCTCCCCGCAGGCCAGCGTGGTGTTCCTCCTCCGCGAGCCGATCAGCCGCATTCGAAGCCTGTACAATCACTTCTGGCACCAGTCAGCTAGATGGGATTTAAGCGGGGGTTTGCAAGATCAGATCAAAGAGGAACTGATGTTTGTGCGAAGAATCAAAAGGCAAGCTCACACTCGCAGCCTTTTTGCTGGTTTCATGCATGCCGAGTGTGTGAATCAGACGAATCAGAGCAGCTGCAACATGTGGGACTTTTGGATCCAACTCCGGCATCAGTTCTTGATCTTCATTCGGAACGTGAGGCGTAACCGTAGCCCCAAGATTGATGGCAAAGCCATCATGCCATATGTCCTCACTGCGATGTACTTTCCATTTCTTTACACCTGGCTACAGTTCTTTCACCGAGTTGCAGTGATTCAAGCTGAGTACTTCTTTCAGGACACCTCTCGTTTGTGGCAGATCTTGGGTATTCAACCACATCAGGCTGCTGCCCTTCATCCTGGACAACCCCCCTTGAACAGTCATCCCTATGACAACAGTTCCATGCTGTCGACGAAAGTGCAAAAACATATGCGATGTGTTTTTGCACAGCTCCTCGACCTAAAGGACTGCTTGGCTTGGTTGGTGATCCCTCCAGGACCAGAACTCCAGCTAAAACCATCAGTACCAATGAATTGTACCTGGGCCCTTGGGCCATGTAGGATCTACATGTGTGAATACAAAAAAAAACAAATATATATATATATATACATACAAATAGTTTTATCTATATATATATATACACATACAGTATACACCTACCTGTTTGTGATATGGGCCCAAGAGATACAAACACTTAGCATTCTGAGCATCATGTAAGGCCAAATGCTTTGCTGCGCAGCTACCTGGAGAAACTGACTTTGGAGGGTGTCGCAGTGATGCCAAGGATTGCAAGCTCCAGCTGGTGGTGGATCAGGGCTTATAAGAAGAAGCTGCCCCAGCGCCCATGACACGCGGAAATGATTTCGCAGCTCGCTGCCCGATGTGAGACGTGCTTTTTTGGCGAATGGATGAAGGAGGGACTGAAGAGGTATAGAATTCCCCACCAGTCCTTCAGTCAACCAGTGGGTACAGTTTCGACTATAGCTGGTAGCCAGAGCCAGAAACCCTGGTTCTTTATAGTTGTATTTGGCATCCACTGGGCAAGCTACCAGCAAACGGAACTATCAGAGCCTCCATGAGGTCAGTCATAGGCTTCCCAATCTGGGACAGGTGCAATAGCTGCTGGATGTTACATCACATGCGGCAGGTTTAACATATGAAAATCATGTTGCAGTTTTTTTGGTGTGTGTGTGTGTCACCCCCTGTTCCTAAGGGTTCCAAGTCACCTTTCTTTTTCCACCACTTCTGCAGGGGGGACGGGACACCGCTGGCACTGCCCGTCCAACGAAGAGGGTGCCAGTCGGTGCTGAAGCAGTGGAGGACGCTCCACTGTGTACCTGCCTGAAACACACTGACACCACTGGTCCACCCTGCCGCTGTTCGTTGGTTCCATGGTCCTTCTTCACGATACTCTCCCACAAACAGGTTTCCCACCGCAGTTCTCAGCCGCTCGTGAGTTGCAGCCGGCCGCGCAAGATTTCGATCACTGAGTTCAACATTTGTTCAACATTTCAGTTGCGCTGACCTTTTCACCTTACGTTTCCCTCACCTTCCTTCTCGATGTGGGAATTGAGTTAACAGCAAACCAATGTCAGAGTGTGAACCGCTCAGCCGTCCCACTTGGGTGCTGGGTGTGATCCTCCGCAAGGAGGCGCTGCAATCATTCCGGAATTCGTGTTACTGATTCTTCGTTTCCACCACTCGTTGGATTCTCTTAACCGATTTCTTTTCACCTTGAATTAACTGCCTTTTGAGCCGCCGGGCTAATATGGTGAACCCTTTTGATTACTGAACCTTTGGCATGTCATTTCATTGCATGTTCATTTTTTCGGTGTGCAGCTGACTTTTGAGTTTCAAGTATGTACAGTCGATTCACCTTCAGTCTCTCACCACAGATGTTCCACACATTTGTCTCACCACCTACAGATTTTTCATCTCATGCCATTTCATAATCACGTTTTCAGACACCCTTCAACTTTCATTCGCTGCCGGAGCGCTGCGCGGGCGCCATTTTGCAGCTGACTGCTACTACGAACACAGCCCCAATGCAATACCCGTGGCCATACCCATACTTGACACATCAATCACCACCTACAACAGCACCGACATTTCCACTCCCACAGACGCAACCTCACATGCCTGCCATGATTTCGCACATGCCGGCTACTATGCCACCTTTCCCGCAGCCAACCTGGCCGCCTACAACCCAATTTCAACCACCACCACAACATTTACCTCAAGTACCACATCATCATCGCGCCATTCCTTTTCCATACGCGCTACCTCCACAGGAGCCCATACCACCACATTCTCCAACCATGGTTCCCCCGCAACAAGCACCTGCTTCGAACACTCAACCAACCCCACAGCAAGTATCGCAGCCAGCACCAACGCAATGGGACTACAATGACTACAACCAAGGAGTTTGGCAACCGTTCTCGGCCTTTCCACCAGTCACCCAACCGGGGCAAGTTCAGCGAGGCCAAGTTCCTGCGGCCGCCACCTCGGCCCCTTCCGACCCTTCTCACCTTACAGCAACACCTTCACCTCTCACTGCAGCGACCATTGGCCCACAGTCACCCACCTCTACAGCACCCTCAGCACCGGAAGGCCATACTGCCACAACCGTCGACCAGACATCCTCGACTCTTCTACCTCCACCGACCACACCTCCACCCTCCACTCCAGCAGGTTCAGGTCAGTCAGACAACCCCAACGATGCACGACCTTCAGCTCCACCACCTTCCCACCCAATCATTTCAACACCACAACCACCACCGCCACCCAAACCTCCCAGCCGCCGTGAACGCGGCCACCGCCGACACCATCACCGCCGCCACCGACATCACAATAGGGGCAGACGCACTCACCGCCACCACCGAACACACAAACACCGTTCATCGCGACACCACCGCTCGCGATCCCCTTCCACTTCATCCTACTCTTCTTCTTACAGCAGATCACGCAGCCGCTCCAGACAACCCATCTCACTTCTCCCAAACAACGACTCACTGCAACCAGATGCTGTCACAAACCAATCACAAACCAACTATCCCAACATTCCAGCCCTTCGCAGGCCCACCAAGCCTTGGCGGCCATCCTCACAGTTCCAACAACGAACACCACAAGAACAGTTGGAACTTTGGCTTGACTATCATGCAGATCAACTCGACGCACCCAACAAACCCCAACACACCTACGTCGCCAGCTTGCTATTGGACAGCGGCCTCACATACAAAGACATCTCTGACTACAGGCAATTCACTCACATCAAATGGAATGACACCACCAACACCCACGACATTTACCAGTACCACTCCATTACCATTCCCAGCCTGGTACAAAAAGCAACTCGACGGTTCCCACCACCAGCGACACGTGCAACTTCCACCTCACCAGAACTGGTCCATATCAATGCCGGCCACACTGGCCCTCTCGGCAATATCACCAACATCCTTCAGCAGGGCCGTTTCCTACCCAGCACCCTCCACTTCCCCAACAACCCTGGCTTCTTCGCACAAGGAGTTCGCATCACACAACAACCACAACATGACAACGCAGAACATGCCCGTATTCTCCACAACACTTGGAACCTTGCCAAGAACACACATTCCATCCTCGTCACCTTACTTGCTTGGGGACAAGGTACCAAGTTTACCAGCGGCGGGGAGGAGCAAGCCATGAATCTCCTCCTACAACAGCACGGTGCAGTCTGCCACGCCAAGGCCCGATGCTGGGTCATACAGCGCCGGTAGCCAGCGCTTGGCTCTCTCCGGCTTAGCTTCCCGACTACATGCAATAGACACATAAACCTTTCCACCCACTACTGCAGCGGCAGCGGCTGAAGAGCTTGTCAGGCTATATGTCCAAAAAGGACATGACCCAACTGCGTGCCGGCGTTTTTTGAGAAAAACAGACGTCACTGGCTCTTCAAGCACCTGCGCCGACTTCGGCTATTTGTGTGTGTCACCCCCTGTTCCTAAGGGTTCCAAGTCACCTTTCTTTTTCCACCACTTCTGCATGGGGACGGGACACCGCTGGCACTGCCCGTGCAACGAAGAGGGTGCCAGTCGGTGCTGAAGCAGTGGAGGACGCTCCACTGTGTACCTGCCTGAAACACACTGACACCACTGGTCCACCCTGCCGCTGTTCGTTGGTTCCATGGTCCTTCTTCACGATACTCTCCCACAAACAGGTTTCCCACCGCAGTTCTCAGCCGCTCGTGAGTTGCAGCCGGCCGCGCGAGATTTCGATCACTGAGTTCAACATTTGTTCAACATTTCAGTTGCGCTGACCTTTTCACCTTACGTTTCCCTCACCTTCCTTCTCCACGTGGGAATTGAGTTAACAGCAAACCAATGTCAGAGTGTGTGCGCATGATCTCCAGCTTTTCCCAGCTAGTTCTGTGCCCGCGAGAGAGAGAGAGAGAGAGAGAAAGATGGAGGGAGAAGAACAGAGAGAGAGAGAGAGGATTTGCGTTTCACGCAACCTCGCAACCTGCAGGTGGGATTTTAGACTAAGCAAATGGAGTGGATCCTCAGATCCCCCCATTCCCTATCCCTACCCGAGCCCGAGCGGGCCCCCCGGAAGCTTGCTGGAAGTGATGAGAGGAACCTATTGTTTCTTGCTCACCGACGGTCACCGAACCCAATGCCCTTTCTGAGGCGCATGAGGCTCACAGGTGGTTTCTGGGAAAAACGCCAACGTTCAGAGTCGCACCACCAGGTTTTGAAAGAGTCACACTGTACCATAAAGTTCGAAGAATGTATGTCAAAACTTTTACTTGAACCACTTTCAAAACACCAATGGATGTTTTGTTGTATAATTAGTGGGAATTGCATGACAACCATCATCCAGTATTTGTCTGACAGGTTTTGGCCGTAGCTCATTTGTTCTCAAGCATGCGCTCTCCGCGCTGCCATGGCCATCCATTTGCTCGGGAGATTGCTCTTTGTGGCCTGGACAGGTCTCAGCATCATGGCTTTCATGTCCCGAACATCTCGGGGAACAAGAGCACAATCCTTCTTTCAAGAGGCCAGGCAGGATCCTAGCCATCCTAGCAGCTTTGCCCCTCGTTCTGACGCTCGAGCTGATCCATTTGGAAGCGCGAGACCTGTGACAGGAAGCGGGACACTCGGCAGTGAAGAATGAATTGCATAACATATATATATATATATTTATTTTTAACATAATATAACCTCATGTGTAATTAACGGATATGAACTTGAACGGTCCTTTATACAGACCTTTGCTGATCATGGTAGTTGATCCAGTTTGTCTAGAACCCCCAAAGAGAGTATCCGAAAATCATTTCATTTGTGTGTGCTGTTTTCAGTTTTACCTTTTTTCTCAGCCGCTTTGGACAAACGAGGAAACATGTGGGAGGCTCATCCACCAGTCTAGTTCTGACGCTAGCACGAAATTCCTCCGTACAATCTTCGGAAGGACAAGAAAGCTCTAAGCCATTGAAACGCACCACAGTCACCACGACGATGACCGCACCGACCACGACAAAGAGACCAAGCATGGGAATCAAAGTGAAAAGGATCATGGGGCCAATTCCCAGTCTGGTTATCCCTGGAATAGACAAAGGTGGAACGACTGAAGCATATGCAATGCTTCACCGAGAATTCCTGCTGGAAGACGGTGGTGGAAACCACAAAGAATTGGGCTGCTTGTATCAGGCATTTCCAATTCCCGGCCAGGAGCTTGCAAAGGTTCGAAGTTGCTATTCAGCATTTTTCCATGAGCTTGGCACCAATGCGTCCGAGCACATTTTGCCCGTCGATGCAACACCAAACTATCTCTACTCGAATCAGCCTAACCCATTGGCTTTGTCGCCACCAAAAGTCCTGTCAGTAATCTCCCCACAGGCCAGCGTGTTGTTCCTCCTCCGTGAGCCGATCAGCCGCATTCGAAGCCTGTACAATTTTTGGTGGCGCTTTCCGACAGCATGGGATTCCACAGGTTCTTTGGAAGAACAACTGGAAGAGGAACTCGAGTTCCTGAAGAATATTCAATTGAAGGACCAACACCTTTTTGCTGGTTTCATGGATGCTAGGTGTGTCAAGGAGAACTCTTGCAACGTTTGGGACTTTTGGATCCAACTCAGGGCAGCATTCCAGCCAGCTATTCGGAACGTGCGGCGTGGGCGCAACCCCAGGATCGATCGCAAGCCCATCATGGCATATGTGTTCACTTCGATGTACTTTCCATTTCTTTACACCTGGCTACAGTTCTTTCACCGAGTTGCAGTGATTCAGAGTGAGTACTTCTTTCAGAACACCTCTCGTTTGTGGCAGATCTTGGGTATTCAACCACATCAGACTGCTCCGCTTCATCCTCCAGGACGGCCCATCAACAAGGTACCCTACGGTGAAAGTGCCAACCTTTCTGAAGCTTTGCGGGGACGTTTGCAGGTGGTCTTCAGACAGCTCCTGAGAAGATTTAGACATTGAAGTTTTGCTGTCATGAAATGTCATGAAGACCTAGTTCCTATGGGCCCATACGAGCCACGATCAAGAAAAAGAATAGGTTTTGAGCATGTCGATGGTCTCTTAGCTTTGTCAACACGACTTAGACCCTAACATGGCACAGACGAAACCAAGTCTCGAGGCCCAATGCTCTACTGCGCAAGTACCTTGCGAGACTGGCCAGTCAGGGTGTCGCTGTGATGCCATCCATTAGCAACTCCAGCTGGTGGGTTGAGAACACATAGGGCAACCGCCAGCCATGACACACAAAGATGTGGGATGATTGGACGAGTGAACTACCCATCGATGTGACTTATAGTGCGCAAGACCAATTCTGCGCGGTGATGTGGGATGATAGACATCGCCACCCAAAGTTGGAAATGAGAAAGGCGCCTGTGTGATGTGCAGCGTTGCCAGTCCTTCCTTTCCCCCCCATCCTTGTTCCGGAAGCGTCCGGATGGTGTGATGGCAGGTGATTGCATGTGATGGCACGTTCTCCAAGCGTTGGCATGGCATTTTCGACCAATGGGCACATCTTGGCCGGTTAAGAACTCTAAGGGTCGAGCTTCCCCCTCATGATGGGGAAGTCACTAAAAGCACACGGTTGGTTGGCCAGACCGGTCATACAGGGCCGTACAACATGATACACCCTGGAAGACGATCCCATGGACTTGAAAACCACGTCGATTGGTAGAGGAAAACAATCTTCCAGGGGGCCAGGACGTCAGGGTCTATGTTAGTTTTCGGGAGTGTACAACCACTCGCGCTCCCATCAGAGCGTCCCACCCCTTCTTAGTGAGTCGGAGTGCCGACCCTCGGTCTCCGCACCGAGCCCTTTCGCGTCAGGCGAAGCCACAAGGCGATGAGATGGCAAGGGCGGCGTTGCTGCCCTTACCGGAACAGCTGGACGCTGGCTCCTGAGTTTGTCGTGGTGGGTCAGCTGAAGTCTGGTGGGAGCCAAAACGACTTCAGACTCGGCTCGTCCAGAAGTTCGGACGAACAGGGACACTCCGAAGGATTCCAAAGATGGTGGCCATGTTGACCCCGCAAATCACCGGTTTTCCGGAGCTTCTCACACTTGGCTAAAAGATGAACTCCTCCCTGCTCGCGCCTCGCTCCGTCCCAGGAGCTCTTCGGACAGTGTTTGGAAGAAGACCTCCAACGAGGACCTCTTCCCTTCGCCTTGCTGGTGGAGCGTAGCTGGTCCGAGCGGTTGGGAGGGAAATGCTTCCTTTGCTTGTTTGTGATGTGCCCAGGTCTCCTTCCATTTCCTTCCCATTTCAGAGATGTCAGACGAGCGAGAATTGTTTGGGTCAACCTTTTCAGGCCCTTTCAGATGATGGTCCCCACATCCAAACATTTCCAGGACTGGAACTAGCATGGACTGTTTCAGATGATGTTTTGACATTCTTCAGAGCTTTTTGGATGAAATGGTGGTCAGTTGCAACTGTTGACACGTTTGTCTCGATGTAAAGTGAAACACTGGTGCAGGGTATATATATATATATTGTACTATATTGTGATTTATAAACATCATTATACATATAATGTCTAATGTAATCATACATATGTATCTATGTTATGTATTTGTTGTAACCTGATGTGGGGAGATCATAAGAACTTGTGAAGGATAATTCTTGGGTTGAGGAGGTTCTTGAGTGGGAAGCGGGAGCAGACCAAATCACGCTTCAGATGCTCTGCCGAGGTTTTTTCTCGTGTCCATGCGATGTTTTGGGGATTGAGTTGAGAGTTGAATTCACTTGACATGAGTCTTGAACCCCACGCCAGATGTGTTCTTATATATATATATATATCGGTTCTTAATTAGTTTTTCTTCAGCCAGGGTGGTGAAGGCTCCTGAGACTGCTGCCGTCGGTGCTGGCATTCAGGCTTCCTATCAATTGCCGATGTTTCGCCACGCTATTTCTTGGCGCAAGCCAAGAGTTTGATTGCTCCTTGTCTTCATACGCAGTGCATGTCTTGGAAGATAATGGGTTTTCAATATTGGTTTTCACTAGATGCAGCCTTGCCAAAAGCGTGAATTTGCATTTGCAGGTGATCCAAGTTTGTGTTAGTTGCTCCTTGAATGTAGCAGCTTGTGGAAAACAGAGCGCCGTTGTACAAGTCGATTTGAACAATTGCGCTTTCACAGTGGTTGGGTGTATATGCTAGCCTCTCTCATTTCATAAGCAACATGAAGCAACCAGCTTTCTGAAAAGGAAGGGATCACGCCCTTAGAAACTGCCATGTTCAAAAGGACGGGGAGACGACGGGGGACGTTGAGAAAGAACGGTCTCTTGGGTTCGGCTTCGCAGACGTCGGCCGAAGCGAACTCACCTGGTGAAACCACCGGTGCCACCTGGTCCGACCGAGGCCCTAGCGCACTTCTTGGAGGAGGTGAGCATGCCTCATCGGGACTGCCCGGGCTTTGGGGGCTTTGGGGCTTTGGTGTCCGCACAGATCTGCAGATCTGCACAGATCAATGAATCAGACCCGAGGAATTCCGGATTTGTGGACATTGAAAAGTGGTGGGAGAGCAGATAGTTTTGATGTTCAACCTTCTCTTGCGACTGGGATCCTTGGAGGCCCATTTGGGTTCCTTTGTGGGTGAGGCATTTGTTCCACCACCAAGCTTGGTGATAGCTCGAAATGGTCCTCACCAAGCTCCATGCGTTCGATCCCCCGGAAGACCCAGGAGAAGTTTGTCTTTTGCCAAGCGCCCGTCACGCTCAGCGACGTGGCGCCCTTGAGCGCGCCGCTGGGCTTCTGACCCAGAAGGCGGCCGTGGTGTCAGAGTATACAGATGGCACTACAGATGACACTGATGCACCCCGAGAAAGGGGTGTGTGTGTGTGTTCTGAATAAGATGGGGGGGGCTATATAATATAAACCACCAACCGTGTAGATTTTGAACATGTACTTTCAATCCTCCAACCAGAAAATGCTTCCGTGGATGACCCCTGGAAAGAGCCATGAAATCAACAAAGGGATTGTCCGCGTCTGGAAGTCGGAGCCGAGGGTACCGACTCACGTCGCATTTTTTCGAGCTGCGATCTCTGGGAGAAGCTGCTTTAAGCTGCTCCAACTCACCGAACTTGGTACGCTCTCAGGGTGCTGAAGAATCAGAGCAAACTATGGAACAGATAGATCCCTAGAAGTCCAGCTCGACTCTATATTTGGCACCACCGAAGAAAAGGACAACTCGAGTTTCAGGTCAACGACTGCAATTTCTTAGGTCTGATACAAATGATTTTGGACTTCCAGGGTAGTATGCAGTTATTGTCTTTTAGCAAGTTTTTTACTATGTTTTAATAAAATGTTATGCTCCGGCATGGTATCTTTAATTTGGCCCACCTCATGGGCATGGGCCACAGACAAGAGGGCGCGAAAGTTGGGTGAATTAGCATGGGAGTTAGCATGGAAAACACCTTCCACATGAAGCACTTCAAACCTGGAGCAACAATCAAGAGGGTACAGGGTGGTACAGGTAAGAAAGAGATAGAGTATAGATAGACGTGTTATGACGTGTTGACCTTTCACTTGATATACTGTAGAGAGCTCCACCAGTCTGACAGTTTTGGAGAATGGATTCGTGTCCTGTTCGCTGTCCCCCCTGTCACACTCGTCAGGACGTAGAGGTCCACAGAGCATGACTGGGGCTGTGACCCGGATGTGACCGGTGAAGCCACAGCCCAAACCATCGAGGCAATGCCAGCACCAGTGAGGTGCCCCTACTGCAGCTTTGAAGTCCACCAACCGTGTTGAAGACCATTCGTTGATCCCTCAGAAATACCCACACGTGTATCCTACCTGTCAGGCATTGTCTATGTGGTACACTTCCCAGATCTTCTGCACCTGAGTGAAATCGCTTTCTGTATGGTTCCTTCGAGTCTTTCTCACCTCACCCGTTGGCTCATCACTACCCTGCGTCCCTGCGTTTGCCCGGCACCGATCCCCGTGGCGGTTCCCAGGCTTCAGCACTTTGCGTGCGCCTATGCGCTGCGGAAGACGGTGCCCTTCCCCTACGCCGTGGGCGACACGGAAGCCGTCACCACACGTCGGAGCCATCAGGGTCGGGCCGGGACGGAGGATTAGAAGGGTGACGGAAGAATTAGTTGGGGAGCCAAACTCATGATTAAAAGGTAGTTTCATTCAAGTTTTGCTGTAACACCTCAGGTTTTTGGATGGATTTGTTGAGGCTGTAGAAGTATATAATGTATATAGAACCTTTCTTCACGTCCAGTGACTGGCTCATGTACCTTGACTGCTCGAGGACAACTCATGGACTTTGGGACCTGTATTTAGTTGATGCTTCATTTTCTCTTGCCAGTGTATGTGTGCGCATGGTTCTTTTGCTTGGCGGTGGGGTGGATGGACGTGATGCAGCTGTTTCTACCAGACCAGGGCTGGTCGGACCAGCCAGGCCGCCCATCGCCCCAGAACACCCATGGCGGAGAGCAGCGGAGGAGAGGACCTGACCCTGCAGCATGTGGTCGTGCTGGGCATTTTGTTCAACATGATGATGTTTCATGTTCGTTTGGCGAAGCCAGACATCCTCAGTGCCCTGAATGTCCTACGGACTTGGGCACAAAATCAAGAAGTCTCCAGACGAGAGAAGCAAAAGCAACTTCGTGTGGAGGAGCAAATGTGTCCTGTCCTGCACCAAGTGCATCCTAGACTTCAACATTGTCCAACATTGTTGAACTGTTAAACTCCTTATGTCCTTATGTGACAAAAACAGACCGACCATCGCCACTCAGACCGACCAACATATGATTCATAATAATGATGATGTAATAGACTATACCGGGACCCTCCAAAGGGTGCCCAATGGAAGCCATAGGTCGTGTGGGGTAGTCCATACCAGGCACCCCGACAGGAGGGTCTTGGTATGTCGGAGACCGTCAAAACCTCAAGCGGTCGACACACCTCAACAGAACCCCGGTCTTCGGATTTCATGGGATGACTCCCGTCCATCGGAAAGCCATGGCCATCCACTTGATGCCCTCCACCGGTCCAGGATCATTCTAAGAGGTTCTACTCGACCTTCGACCTTCGACCTTCGTCGACCTTCGCCCTAGTTTTGAAGAGGTCGCCAGAAATCTCTGGTCCAGTCATTGGTTTCATCACCTCCATTCGTTTGCTGCACCCCAGGTTTCAGGCTCGCCTGCATAATCTTCGGATGGCCTCCAGGTTCTTAGTGCACCTTTCGATGTTCGCCATTTTGGTGTTCTCCTGGAGACTCTTTTGCTCCCCGAGCTGGCCCAATGCGTGCCGTGTGCTGGTCACTTCTTTCGTGTACGGCTTTGACACTCTGACCAATCTGAAGGTGGTGCAGGTCACAACTGCTTTTCAATGGCGCCTAGCAGAAGGCATGCTGTTGACTAGTCATGCCATCTTTGTTCTCGCCAATGCCACCACTGATGTTGGGGAGTTCCTCGCCCTGGACAGGCTCTCAAGCCTGATATTCTTTGTGATAGCTTTTGTCTTTATGGACTCCTCCGTCACGGTGCCAGTGTACTGCTTCGAAGCTCTCCTCCAGTTCTTCAGATACTCGAAGCTCGCAGGGGACTTGAGTTCACTGCAGGTCTATTCCGCACTCGTCTCGAGCGTTTTGATCATGGTGACGATTATTTTGTTGGAGCAGGTCATGCGAGCAAGTCGTTCTGACTTGGTCACAAAATAACTTTTGAGCTTTTGGGAAGTTGCTTTCACCATATCATAGTGGATCATAGTTTACCCGTGTCATCATGTTTCCCAGAAGTAGAGCTTCTTTTGTTGCGCAGAGTCGTAGGTATTAGAGCGTCCCTTGAATCTGGAGATGCATCTTCTCTAGTGCTTGGCTTCCGACGACTACTTCGAGGAGTTTGTGATGGAGACCTGCTCTTGGACCAAGACTTTGTGATTTCAGATGATGCGAGTGGCCTGGAGCACCTCTTGAAAATCCAGAAGCTCAAGGACAAGAATTTCCTTGACCTCTTTCTGGAGGATGAAAGCCGAGAGGCTTTTCGGAGCTTCGTTGACACCAACTCCCAGCAGCCCATGCCCCGCGGGCTGAGGGTCTCCTTGCAGGGGGCCTATGGTCCAGTGTCCATGGATATCTTCCAGACTCCAATTCCAGCTCTAGGGCCCGGGCATCGTGTGCTGGCCATCAAGGGAGACCTGGATGTACCAATTCCCGATGCCTTGCCTGGTTCGACTCCTGTCCTAACGGGACCCGACTCCCCAACGAAAAGCCCCTTGTCACCAAGGAGCATCACAAGCGAGGTCACCGTTGAAGCCTATGAAGAACTTGTGCAAGTGTCATTCTTGGTGAACAATTCGGGGGGGCTCTTAGACATCTTGGAGGCTCGCATCAAGTTCAAGCGACAGTCAGAGGCATCTAAGCTCAGGTTAGGAATGCCGACCCTGCGGGGCATTCTACGGCCAGGCGACTGTGCTTTGGTTGAGAGAACATTGGCCTCTTCCTTTCAAAGCAGATCTTCCCCAGGCCAGCGGAAGCATCTCAAGACCCCTTTGTTGCTCAGATTGCTGGGTGAAGCTCGGGCCAGCTATGTTCGGGCCAGGACAGCATATGTCACCTTGCCTGAGGACACTTGGGGAGCAAATGCTCCCAGCTTTTGGATGAAGTTGAAGGATTTTGATCCCCTTCCGAGGGAGCTGGAAGGCATTCGCGAAGAAGGAGGTCACGGATCTCTGATTCGTCATGACATTTCTCCAGATTCCAGCGGGTTGACCACAAAGAAGGAGGTATAAGTCAAAGAGGACCCACCACGTCATCAAAGCAAACATATATCAAACCCACAGGTTCACTCACTCAGTGTGGAGCCCGAGAGACGGTGGCTCCGATCACCAGTGTCTGGGGACCTATTTTCCTGTACATAGAGCGAATACAGCACTGGAATGAGGAAGATCGTTCCTCCTCCAAAATGGCATGCTCTTTCATTTTGGCTTCTCTTGCAGATCTTGAATATGTTTGTTTTTCGATGCGATGATGAGGCCAGAGGTCCCCCTGCATGGAGGTTCCTTTGTCCGATTCACAGGCATCTCTTCTGGACCGCCCAAAGCAGTAAAAAGCCCTTTCTGATCGTGGAGACCCAAAGCATGGTTTCTGTGTTTGGCGCCCAACCCGGAGACCGCCAACATCTGCAAACAGCATGGATCTCTTCTTTTTGCTTCAGCTTTTCAAGCACGTAAATTCATTCAGGTCAGATCTTAGAGCTGGAGGCTTTGCACAAAGCCGCTTGGATGAGCAGAACGTGAGCAGGAAACGATGTTCTGGGGTGCTATTTTTCCTGGAAAGGCCACCATTTTCCCTTTATAATGTAGACTGTTGACGAATAAAGCCCCCGCATATGGAGACACACAAACCTTGTAAAACCATTTGGGTACGGTATATAGGGTGGAATTTATTGACCAACAGGGCAACATGAGGGCGTTGTATGTGTACTACACCACCCACCATTACTACACCATCCACCATTTTTCTTGGAGGGGGCTTTCCACGGGAAAGGATGGGCCTCCTTCACACTCGGCCTAGCAACGTTCGGGCTTGGACGTGCGCAAGCTGGATTCAGTGAAGCTCAGAGAGGAGAACACTAAAGTCAATGAACGTCATATGTATGGTCATTTTTCGGGAAGTCGAGAGGGGCATCTAGAGAACATAGCATCAGTGATACCAACATGTTTAGTTTTAGGCACCAAGATCTATAGGTCCAGTTCCACTGACAGGAGCTTCTAGATTACAAGATCGACACCGGCAAAATGGCCGGCCGCCGAACCTCTCCAGGCAACCACACGGCTGGGTCGACATCGCACCTCCAGTGGACAACGGCCGATTTGTAGATGAACATGGTCATTTTTGGAAGTGGGCCATGTCATCCACATAGCCATGATTTCAGGCTAGCGAGTGTACCATCCGGGACCATCACCCCAACACTCCATGCGACTGTCCCATAGACTTGCACATATTTTGCCGATCAGCTTGGGGTGCTTGACACAGGGGCCACCTTTTGTGTGTGGTTGTTCGTTCTGCTTTTCTAGCATTACTGTATATTTTTGGACGTTGGCGGTGACTGTTTGACCGGTGTATCTTCCAATATCTTCCATACATGGAGTACAGATGAGTACAGTATTTGGAAGACTCACATGGAACCTGAACCCCCTGGTTGGTAGAGGAAAATCGTCTTCCATGGGACCAGGATGTCAGGGTCTATGTGAGTTGACTCGGGAGTGTATTTGGATGTAGACATGGGACCATGTACCATCACGTCTCTCGGAAGTCCAGCTCCAGGCGTTGCGCACTTGGCTCCCACAAGCCTACCCAGTCAGCAAATCAGCTTGAACCTGCTTTGAGGAGTGTTCTTCTTCCAACTCAATAAGGACAGTGTGGGAAAAATCCGAAACTGTTGAATAAAACATGGTTAAAGCCAAGCACTTCGATACTGGATGGATGCTGTTAACAAATCAGGCAGTGAGGCAAGAATTGGTGTCCAAAAGAATCTCAGCGTCCTCCAGACCTTGCGAAGAAGTGTGGGCGGCTGCCGGCTGCTCCAATTCTTTACAACCAGTTCACCGACCACAATGTCCAACCATCTCAATTCTTTTACAACCATTACAACAGTTTCCAATTCTTGGTTTTCTTTTCCAACAAGTCCAAGCCGACACACTTCCTTCTTTTTGCTCGAAAAAAGAACTTGGCCGCAAGACCAGCAGCCATGGACGAAGCCCAAGCAGAAGAAGAGAATCCAGATGGCCCTGACGCCCTGGGAAATTTGCTGCAACACTTCAGAGTAGCTTGGACCATCAAACAGTAACACAAGTTAAAAGTTGGGTGTGTATTGAAAGGATTAGGGAGACCTCCCAGTTCGACCCCCTGGAAGAAGGAAAATAGACCAGGAGGTAGACAAGGCTACTGTACCCATGGGTTGAGGGTTCTCCCTACTCAAATGCACACCCCGTTGATGTTGTTTCGGCCAGAGCTGGCCAGACATCGATTTCCTGTGACCGCAACCGTAACCCCCTGATCGATGCTCAAACCGCAATGGGGTGCCGTAACTTGTGGCGAGCACTCGACGGTAGTAGTTTGGATCGACACTGGACCGCCCACCTGACGCAGGAACACGAACGGGGAACGGGGGAAAAGGCATCGAATGACGACCTCCTCACCATCTCTCTCCTCCACGTCGAGCCAGGTGTTGTCCGTGCTGTTTCCCTCAAGTGGAAGACAATGTCCATCTCAAAAAGACTAGAAAACGGACCATGGGAAGAGCATTTTCCCCTACAACACCGGTGTTTTCAGGTAAGGGTGTAATTTGGTGGTGGCAACAGTGGCCAGATATCAGGTGAGTTGTTTAGCCCGCACGACGATAAAGACCCGACAGTAAAACAAGACATGCTTCGCTTGCTTTTTGGCCGATGTTGATGGCTTTGTTGCATTCAAATGCTATAGTTTCCTCCCATTTAACCTGTTAAGGCACGACTCAAACGGTTCCAATATACAGACATGATGTACCCTCCCGCTCTTTGCACCAGTTTCAAGTCTAAACCGTCAGTCGGAGTGGTGGAAGCAATGCCTGAACGCCGCCAGGGGGAGCTTCAGGCGGGTGGTGTCGTCCGTGCGGATGCGGCCTTGAGCAAGGCGGAGTTGGATGCCCAGATGACCGAGCTTGGAAACAGGCCGCTGGGAGGGGTGGGATTGGAGACAACGTCCAAACGGGAGTGTTGTGTTTTTTTCTCCGATGGAACGGTTTTCAAGCCAGCATGGAGGATCAACATGATCAAAACTTGTCCAGAAGACTGGACAAGTATAGATCTTGATATATTTTGATATCCTATCACCATCAATGGGGGCGAGGTCAATCAGTCAAGGGATGTCAAGCGATTGGCGGCTGAGGTTGCAGGGATCACTGAGCGGAACAAGGATCATGTACCCGACGAACACATTAGTGAGTCAGAGTGTAGACCATTGATTCACAAATCCACTCCATTTGGATATTTGGATGTGAAAACCTCTTCCTATGAGCGGTGCTATTCCTCAACAGTCTAAACAAACTAGGCCCATTCCAAAACCAACTGACTTGGCCAGGTTGGACACCCGACAGAAGATGAACGGCTGCCTCTTCCGGCGGGTGCAAATGTTGGAAGAGGCCAGGGCAGTGCTGGAGGGCTGGGGCACTGCTCCAGGGCAATCCTTCAACTGAGGCAAGAGGGCTGGTTTGTCTCCACAACAGATCTCTTGGATACAAACATTGTGAGATATAGATGGTACAAGAGTCTCCATCCACATGATCTCAATACAACAGATCTCTTGTCTCCATCCACATGATGGTACATGCATTGTTGTGGATGTATCCCGCTCGTTGTACGATATCTACTCTTGAAATTTGGATGGACGCCCAGGATTGAGCAACTGCCCCCTACATTGTCAGAAACCTGGAAAGTCCATGAAATGTATATTGTTTAATCAACTTTCTACAGAGATACATCCGGAGTTTGAGTAGAAACACTCCTTGGCGCCGCCTCGTTCGCCGCGTTGGTTCTCAGGTCCTTCAACTGGAGCGTCAGAAGCGTGGCGCACTGCTGGCGGACATGAGCGGCTTTCTGACGCCACGGACGGCGAAGGATGAGGTTCCACAGCTACAGGACTCAGAAGAAGCTTCAGGATGGAGATCTTCAATGTACTGTAATTAGATGAGCATTTTTGGATCCAGATCTGAGATATACAAATGCGTGGTTCCCAACATGTGGGGTTCTTACTTTTACTGTGCTTTCCGTCTGCCTCCCGCCTCTCCCGCCTCCCGCCTCCTCCTGCAGAATTCTCCATATTCATGCACTTGCACTCACTCACTTACACTCGTTCAACCGCTCACACCAACTCATCTCAATGCCACTCACTCAAATCCATTTCACTCACTTGCACTCACTCATCTCATGCATTTTGCTCTCTCCCGGCGGGAGTATGGGAGGTTCTGCTTACAGCCGACGCATGGTCGCCCACCGAGCCCGGAGATCCAGAGAGTTGCGCCGCACCAATGGGTGTGTATTTCAATAGGTGAACCCTGAACCAATGGCTAGACTGTTCTTTTTGTTCCATTTTCCAGGGGGTCGTTGCCTGGGAGGTTTCCATTTTTTGAGATACACACCCACATGTGAAACTATTCCAACGGTTGCATAGCTTCATGAGCCCTCTTTGTAGAAGAAAAGCGCAACCGTTGTTTTTGAAAAGGGAGGGGCCCAGGGGTGCGGGGACCGTTGCCTGGCTTCGACGAAAACAATTTTCATGATGAGGGTCTCAGGCAACTTGTTTAGTTTAGTTACGGATTGTGTTCTATTTTATTTAACTTCCAAGCATGGGGGTGTTTCAAATCTACAAGATCACTGGTTCAGAGACATCACAAAACTCAAGTTTCTGGAGGTATGTAAGCACCACATTGCTTTGTTCCTACATTGTTGCTACTGTTGTTAAATCGACCCGTGTAGACAAACCATAGAAATTTGCCATGGTCCAAGAAGTATGTGAGACAGAGAGCCAAGAAAAACAACAAGAACATGAGAACGCAAACACAGTTGGGTGAGGTTGCTTTGCATGAGAGCACTGCACTTCGTTTGTCATATAGTCCTGGTTTCTCCCTGCACCTGCGCAGTCATTTGTTAACCGCCGCATCTCAGGAATCGATGGTCCAATCCGCCAAAAACACCAAACGTCCCACTCCTTGCAGCAAAATAAAAAGAACACTATTCTGCAGTATTTTTGGTACAGTTATGAAATACATACCCACTCACGCTCGCTCACTTGCTGACTCGCTGACTCTCTCATTCACAAACTCCTTCCCTTCTATGGCCATCGTCCGAAAATACGCGTACGTCTGATGAGTCTCATGGTCCCTTCTTTCCGCCCCTTCAACCGCTCATCGATCCTGAATCAGTCTCCCTTTGATCCTGTACATTTATTCCAGCGCCTTGTCAGTGAAACACGTATCATCCATTCAGAGACACAATGTTTGCGTTCTCTTGCCACAGAGGTCTTCACAAGTCCTGTTTCCACAGGTGTGATGTACTGTATGTCCGCTGGATTGGCCATGGAGCGTGACATTGTCAGTATGTGGGTCATTCCGTGAGGGAAGGGACATTCCGTGAGGGAAACGCAACCAGCATGTTTCAATCGCTAACCCTCCGAGAGCTTGAGCTTAAGGCAACCACCGAAGGTTGGCCATGCTGGGCCATATGACAAACAACTGGAGGGGAACCCTCGCAGCTGCCAGGACATCTCAGCACAACTCTTAGCTTGGCGTGTGATGATGTCCACACGCATGTGGCTAAGTGGCTCGACCTTCAAGAAGGAAGACGAGGAGGTGCATGACGAGGACTTTGAGCAATTCTGAGACCTACGCTAACCGTCCTTCTTCCTGAAGGACTTCCTTTCACTGAGACAAGGGCTCCCCCCCAAAAAAGGGCTGGGCGGCAGTCTTACCTTCGAGACAGCGCCCGAAAGCGCTGGGCTACCCCGGCGTCCGCGAAAAGCTTCGGCGACCGCGGGCGGTTTTGGGCGCGGAAGGTTTGGCCGAAGCCCATGGTGCGATCCGGAGGAATGAGCACAGACCTTGCGAAGAGTGGGAGATGGATGTTCCAGGTGGGTACATTTGGTAGGTACACGTAGGTTTGGAGGTTCTTGATGTTTGAATATGTTCTCCAATTGGACATGTGAACGGCAATTAGATCACCACCCTCCAAAGTATTGTAATCGTCACTGAAAACCATACTTTTTCTGATCGTCCAGGTTTCCTTTCAGAACCTCGAGTGCTAGTTACTAGTTAGTTTCACAGGACTCTGGTTCAAGATGGAAGGGTTAAATGCCCCTGTATATAGGTGTCAAATGATACTCCACATTTCAGTGCAGTGAGCACTCACTCCATGCCTTCCAAAACCAGCTTTCTCACCTCCCAAAACCAGCCTGGCCGTGACATGGTCATCGCCACACCGGGCGTGTTTGGAATCCGTTTCACCGCATGGCGTCTCAGGTGTGTGATGCCTACCTTTGGTTGGCCAGCCGCTTTCCGGACGCCTTTGTAGACGTGAAGCTGGCGGACCAGGCGTGACACGGACCAGGGGTGTTTGACGGTCCAGCTGAAGATTGGGAAAGGAGACCCAACAAGCCGACAAGCGGGCCCCATACTTTGAGTTCCGAAAGTTTGTTCTATGAGGTTTCTATGTCAAAACGTGCATGAACCGGATGTCGAATATTTGGTAGCCTGAAACGAGGACAAGCAAGGGTCGTCCCTGCCCTCATTGTACTGCTCAATGAGTTAAAGGACCAGGTTTTGCTGGGGTCTAGTATTACTAGTGGTATGTACGTAATTGTATCTTAACGGTGTTTTTGCAGTCGGATGTTGTGGTGCATTTCATGGTGTCAACTCTTCTTTCCTGTCACTTATGCACTTCCTTTTGCCCTAAACATGGCCGCTCGCTCATTTGAAGCCATACGTGAACACAGTCGGACGCGGCTGGACGGGGCCAGAGGTTCGGTACCGTCCAGGCACGGGCCATGGTCGCCCAGCGTATTGGCCAAGCACTCCGGCGACCCCTGGGAGAGGCGCGCAGGGGGGGGGCGGCTGGCGTTTGCGTGAGACCGCGAGGCGAGGCGGGAGAGGTGGGGGTGGCTGTGGCTGTGGGTGTTGGCTTTGCGGCTTGGCTTGGCAGTTTTGGATGGCACCCCATTTTGGGGAGCCACTGCCCTATGTTTCAGGTCTACATGTTCAACGTGCCAATTCTCAGGACTTCAACTCGGAATGAGCTATACTACAACCTCGTGGTTGCTCTTTTTTGGGGGGGTCGGTAGTTCAACATACCTCTATTTAGGTCTGTGAACCACGTAAACATCAGCAACCAAAATAAACATCCGGTTAAAACACATGTTCGGGAAGAAACACCTGTGGCTCACCAATAAACGCCCTTAGCTTGTGTATAAATGCCCGTGGAATATCAGAACAAATCAGAAAACTAGAGAAACATCCGCAGGCTCAATATAAGGCTGTGACTCCACAAGATGCCACGAAAGGTAGCGGTTACGCTACCTGAGTTTTCCTTTTGCTTTAGCAAAAATGTATTAACCCAGAGCTGCAGCCTATCTCTCGGAGAAATGGTCCCCGACATCTTCGTTTGCTGGCCGGGGGGCGGGGGCCCCCCCCCCTTTCAACTCCACCCTAGCGCGCCTCGGGGTCAACCGTTCGAAAACACTGTAAATATCAGTGTTTTCAGCTCTTCCAGTCCTCAGCAGTGACCAAAAATCATGGAATTTACAGCGTTTTTTGTGGCTGTCCGGCAAAAAACACCGCAAAAACCGATGGTTTTTGATGCGTCTCGGTTAGAAAAATGACCGAAAAAAGACCAAAAACCAGGAAAGATTTTGTCAGAAAGGGTTTTTGAGGCTTTTGGAGGCTTCAAAATTGCACAAAACTATGGTATTTACAGGGTTTTGTGCACCTTCCCGGCAGAAAACGCCGGTATTTACACGGTTTTCTGCGCTTTTCCAGCGCTCAACCGTGGTGCGCCTTTGGATCGACGGCTACAAAATACCGTAAATACCAGTGTTTTCAGCTCCTCCTGTCTTCAAGCGTGGCCTTAGACCTTGCCGCGGCTGTGGATCGACGGCAACGAAACCTCGTAAGTACCAGTGTTTTTGAGCACGTCCTGTTTGCAAGCACGGCCTGCGGCCACGCAATTTACAGGGTCGCCGCACGTCACTATGTCAATCCGAAGTTGCATTTGAGAAATATGTGACTCCTTTTGAAGGCACGTCAACCTGTATTGAAACCGCTAGACCGCTACAGCTTCTGCAGGTTTTGTCAAGCGTTTGTGCATTAGTTTTTCTTTCATCACGCTCACTCACTTCTCTTCAAACAAGTGGGGGGCCTCTCACCTCCTCCCGGATTACGCCTGATTCCCTGCTACCTTTCGTTCACCACCCTCCTCTCTCAAGTTTTGCACGCCGCAGATCGCAAAAAAACACTGAGGAAGTTCCAGAGCCGCCCCCAGAGAAGTGCATGATGCAATGGAGCAAGTTGTTTTGGTCAACCAGAGTGTAGATTGGATGATCCAAGGTGGATCCACGGAAGCCTTTCCACTAGTGATTTTGCAATGGAATTGTCCAGCCAGTTCTAAATGTTCTATCAGTCAATGTTGCATTCTGTTCCTGCCCAGCGCGTGCACAAACATCCATTGTGGCTAGCATCCTGAATCCTACCTTAGATGTGATTGGCGCAAAGGCGTGTTGGGGGCGGACCCCATGGTAGATGATCTCTTTAGACTCTAGACCCTGGAACATGCAAAAGGCATCACACAAGACTCTACACCCTGGAACCGCTAACTTCCCAGGGTCATGTGATTGGCCATGCTTCTTTTGCGAGTGCTGGGGTTCCAAGACACATCCGGGGCTGGTCGCTCCAACTTTCGGCACCCTTTCGTGACAGACCAAGTGAGGGGACTTACACTTCCTGGAACTAACATGGAAGTGGAGAATGGCCCCTTGGAAGACCATTTTCCACTACAAACAGGTGGTTTTCCACTTCCATGTTAGTTCCAGGGAGAGTAGTATGACTTAGTCTATTAGTCATTCTGGGGAGTGTTCAATCATCATCAACGAAGGATTATTCTTGTCCCTTTTGCCAACGCCGGCGGCCAGGATAGTACCTTTGGAGAGGCCTTTTTGACCGCGGCTGGTTGTTGCATGTTTGCATTGTTTGGGTGTTGTGGCCTGGGTGCTGTTGTGGCCTGGGTGCTGTTGCAATCATCACCGGTCCCTTCAGGGTCTTGCAGGTGTTTCAGGTCGCTTTTTGGACAGGGAATGTCAACAGTTGAGCACCCAGTCTTCTAACATATAGTTTGACGCAACTCAGCAACTACATCAAGGACTATACATACACTGGGAGTCCAAGACTATGTCGCAATCTGCCCAAACCTGTAGCTGAAAGGGGTCTGACAACCCGTCCAGCTCATCCGCCGCATCGGACTCTGACAACCAAAGAAGAAGCCAGCATTGTGGGTGCGTGGATATAGGCTTTAACTTTCATGTTAGGAGTGCTGGTGCCCCAAATCAATGGACACCTTTTAAATACGACAGGGTTGGGAACAAGAAAAGAACCGATACCCTCCCTTCTGATGACCTGGACCAAATTCAAGGAGGTTTAGATCGCCGCTCAGCAGTCTTGGCAGAGCTTGGCATCCCCATGTTGAAAGCAAACGTCCCAGCCAGTGCCGCGCAGGCGGAGATGTGGAGACACGGGGGCGAAAGACTCCTGGAGTGACGTGCTGGGTGATCCACACTCTTCACTTGCCTTCAGGACACTTGTTGGGCGAAGAAGTACGAAAGGGACAAAGGCACCCACAGCTTCACGTCTGAGGAGAAGATATACTTAATTATGATATATCACGTCATTGGAGGTCGGCACCGTGGAGGAGGGATCCCAAGGATGATGTTTTGTTCATGAAGAGGGGCCCCAAAGACTGTAAATCTCTTCATGAGGAGAGATCACACGGACTAAATCATGTCTTTTTCATCAGGCATCAGGAGGGATCCCCACGACCAAATCGTTTCATGAGGAAGGGCCCCCGAGACAAATCCCTCCATGTGACTAAGCTCACAGAGTGGATGAGGAAGGACGGCTTCGAGATGGCGGAGGACAATGTTTGTTGCCATGAGTTCAAGCACAGATTATAGAGCCAATCCCTGTTCACATTTGTACTCTAATCATTGAGATTCCACTAGTCCCCCGAATCTACACGACAGGAGGGATAACATAGGGTCCGGTTACAGCAGGATGCAGATGGTTGCAGCCCTATCATCGGACATATCATATCATGACATATCCAAGAACCTATCCTAATGGTCCTAATGCCTCTCCTGCAGGCGGCGGCCATTAATCTGTTCATGTTCATTCGTTCTGTCGAGTTTTCACCGAGGGTGTGGAACCAAACGTCACATTGTAATTTATGGATGCTACCCAGCTCGCTCAAAGTGGCTTCGATCAGAAGCCACTTAAGCATGTCATCCAAACTTCAATGATTTTGTCATCGGCTACTCACGTGTGCCACTTATCAGATCATTTTCTAGGAGAGTTTTTGCACTGTGAGTGAGGCGAAAACGATACCGACGTGGGCCGCGGTACTTTGGGTCACGCCCCCATCGCCCATAACATGTCATGGGTTGCCCCCCCCCACACACAGCTGGAGCTATTCAGCTACCGCCTGGAATGTCCAAAGGCTTTGGCAAGAGATAGGGTCACTGCACGGTCCCGTTAATAAGCCATATGATGCCATGGGTACATCATGGTGTGTGTGGGCGTGGGGTATTGATACCCAGAACATCCAAATGGCTCCTTTTAACCCGTGAAACAAGTGGTGGATCAGGACTACCCAGTGGGGGAAAAGGAGACCTTGGAAGTTCTGGGATACATAGCATGTATGTATGTTTCCTTCACTGACAGGTGGTCCATCAATGTCATCAACGTTGATGGACCACCTGTGGTTGATCCCATGGCCCTCCGCGGATGCACCGCACCGACGCGAAGGACTCGTTCGGAAGACCAACAGAGCAAGGGTTCACATAGACCTACCAGCACCTGGGCCGGAAAACTATGAGGTTTATAAGTGGAGGTGAGGGTTTGGGGTTGCCAATCTTTTCTGGGTTGTGTGCTCAGCCAGTGAACCGCCAAAAGGGTGGTGAGTGGCTGAAACCAATCTATGAGTTTCCCGGCTTTTGATTGGATCGGGGAGGGAGGGGCGTACGTACCCTCCCTATTGGGGGTGCCAAAAGCATCTCCAGTCGGTTGAATGGAAAGCATCTCCATCTTGCCCATGGCCTCCAGGTGTCCAACTGCGGCCGCTCGGACTGACGCTCTCCTCCGCGCGGGTTGCACGGCGGCGGTCCAGACAAACGGACGCGGCTGACGGTGCGGCGAAGCCGTGGCACATGGAGGTGGCACATGGCGGACGTTGAGATGCTTGCGATGATTCACCGCTTCAGAAGTATTTGGAGCATATTGGACCTGCAAGTCTGACTCACCAGGCCATCCTTGGCAAAAAAAGGCACATCATTTCGATTGCCTGGCTGCTCCGGATCGCACTCGTCGCCAGGCTTCCGGGCGCCCTGTCCGTGTTCGTTTCAGAAAAGCGATGTCCTGTACGACCCCAACCGGATGCCCTTCCGCGAATTCCTGCGAATGTGCTCGTTCTCAATTCCGATCGGTCACATAGGGCGGTTGCGACATCATCCATCAGAAGTGGATAGGATAGAAAATTAGACATGACAAGTCATCATACAACACCAGGAGTTCCAAAAGTGGGGCCTGCTCAAAGCATTTCAAACATTTTTCAGCGGTCGCGCCCATTCAATATTATTCAATACTAACCTTTGGAATACCCCCTTTGAAGACTAACCTGGACCCTGAAAACCACGGGTTGGTAGAGGAAATGCGTCTGAAACAGAGTGCAAAAACCGTACCGACCGGGTCCGCGTGAGGGTTCAACAGAGTGAGTGTATTTGTGCCTTTTTGGTGCCATGGGGGTCCATAGAGGTGAAACTGGGGGTCCATAGATGGTTTGGCGAACCGACCGCGGAGTCATGAAAACTGGCTGGTCAATGCCTGCAGACCATCGTGGTTTTGCTTAAGGTGATTTTTGGTTTAATTCCCCTTCTGAGGACTATGCTTTATTTTAGACGTTCCTTAAGCAAATCCAAGCCATTCAAACAGTTCAGCTGACCTGCTTTTGTAGTGTAAGGTCTTTAGTAGGGGGCGTGTGTTGTATTTGGGATGGGGGCAGCGGGGCATGATGGGACATGGTTTCCTTTTTGTCGACTTCTTGTTGATGAACGTCACGAAAACGACTGGCTGTCCAGTCCGGTTTGGAAAGCTGGTGAAAAGCACACAAGCCCCAACCTTGTTTGTTTGTTTGCAGGTGGTTTGGTCAAGTAAGTTATAGAAATCGATTTTGCATGATGCCTTTCGGAAAGGGGGTGAGTCAGGTGGCTGTGTAAAAAGAAGACCAAGCGGCCTCGATCAATTCAACGGCAGACGGGCCACCTGTGCGGACGGCGACCTGTTCGGCCTTCACAAGTGTGGGAGTCATGTGGAGTCGTCAGAACTTGAATCCGGAGAATCTCCAGTGTTCGGCCGAAGCGGCTTGCAAGGTTCTCCTGCAAGAACCTGATGGAAGAAGGTAGAAGAACGGGTCTATCTTTTAGATTCTTTTAGCAGGTTGGAACCTGGTGTTGCTGATCAGTTTGGAGTTATCTATCAAGAACATAGCCTTCTGATTGTGGACCTTGTCATGCCTCGTCCTGAATGTCAGTAAGAAGCGGAACATGTGCAGAAAGACCCTGCTTCGATGAATAGCATGTCCGCAGCCTTTTTGACCATTTCTGGTCAAGGCATTCCAAACGTAGTGATCCTGCCTTTCAGCTCAACGTAGTCTACGCCAGGACAGGTGCGAACTGGCCGACTCGCTTGGGGGAAGCACGGAAGCTCCGAATTTCATCCTGGGTGGTTGACATACAGTGAAGATGGATGAAGACAGGGTGTTGATGTCGGCTTGGCAAGGAGATCAAGGGTCTGACACCAAGTTTACCGGCACCTCGCTCTGTTTGGTGTTCGTTTTGAATGTTTGTTTCCTTCTCCCACAGCCGTGTTTCACGTTCCTTTGCATGAGAAAGTGTAATGTTATTGAGGTGCTAAGAGTTACAGTAATAAAGAGAATTGCCCATACTGTTCACAGGAGGTGAGAGGTGGTATTGATAAGCCCCTCGCGGGCGCCGATCAAGATTCAATCACAGTGTATTATACTAAAGGATATTGAAAGTGTCCCAAACGCCCTTGACTCTTGACCGAGTGTTTTGTGCGCTTAAGGAGTTCAAGACTTTTTGGACGATGGTGCAGGTGTTATTTGCTCCGAAGCACATCCCCCCAGCACCAGATTTGGGGGCCATTTCGGACCATCCTCGAAGTCTCCAACAGTTTTCGCCCCGTAAGTAGCCAAGATGTGGCGATTGGTTGCGGGCCCCCGATATAGTTTTTTTTTTTTTTTTAAAATAGAGTATCTATAATATATATATATATATTATATATTTTTTAGATGTATAAATACGTGTATATATATATATGCGTGTGTTTGTATAATATATGTTTATAAATATACTCTATGCTTGCAAATCGGAGTTGCACAGACAATTCTTGGCTGAACTTCCTCGCCATCAAAGACCCACTTCAGATTTCAGCCGAGCCCCCACACTCCGTTATGGAATATATACCATTGCAAACATTATTGTATACCTATATGGGAGTTGATCTAAATTCCTTATCCGGGATCCATCATTTTCGCCGAAAAAAAATACTTTAGCCAAACTTTCGCCTTCCTGCGTTTTATCTTTCGCCGAAGTATGTTGTATTTATGTGTGCCATGTTGTGTTTGGTTCACGTCAATGGCTTCTTCTTTAATGGCAAACACAAAATAGAAACTTCACTGTTTGTCAGCATGTGTCTTCTACTTAACTGTTGACACCCTGTACGTCTCTTTTGTTTCTCCTGGGTGTCAGCAAGAATCAAAATTGCAAGAATCACTGTAGTAGCCGGTCACTCAAACTTACTCATAATGGGCTGGGGGTCAGATGTGGCAGGGTGAACTTTCGCCAAACTTTCGCCTTTTGCGGGGTAGAGTTTTGTGGCAAAGCCACCCCCCCAATTAGTAGTAGTAGTAGTAGTAGTCGTAGTCGTAGTCGTAGTGGTAGTGGTAGTAGTAGTAGTAGCAGTAGTAGTAGCAGCCGCAGCAGCAGCAGGTGATCTAACTTCCACAGCTCATCTAACTTCTGAGTCACTGCCACCAGCTGTTCAGGAAGCAAATAAACATTCATACAAAAGTACATATTTAATCTTTCGCCAAAAAAATACTTTCGCCAACTCGAGAAAAACTTTCGCCAAATGAGATTTTGATATGTTCCGGGTCATCGTCATACACAATGCTGTCTAGGACCTTTAGTATCGACAACCATATATGCATATGCCGTGCATTCCCTGGAGCTCCAAATAGCAAATACTGTATCTTCAAAGAAGGTACTACCCTCCAAAACCACCCACCCAGCGCCGTCCCTTCCACCGCAGCCTGGAGGCATGGAGGAAACCCCAAACATGGGGGAGAGGCCCTGGGGCTCCGTCGCTTCCGTCGAAAGAGCGAAGTTCTTCCTGGTCTTTCCGTCGGGCGCTTCCGTCGGTTCGCGCAGGATGTTCACCGTTGCCATCTCCTTGGCGTGCTTCAGCGTGGCCTTTTCCGCGCATTTGCGGAGCAACGTTCCTTTGCTCCTGGGAGGGAGGATTGGGTGCTGAGGGGAGAAAGAACTGGGTGAACATTGGGGGAACCACTGCAAATACTTTCTTTCTTTTAAACGAAAGCCGAAAGGCTGACTGGGGGTGCTCAGAGTGCTCCAGCAAGAGCTAATCAAGAGATATCAAGAGTAAGGATAGACATGTTGAGGCTAAGGGGATCAGCAAGAATCTCCGGTTCTTCGTCAACTATTACAACTGAAAGCCTGGTCTCAGTTGTGAAGCTTTCAGGGTCTTTGGCTCATCCCACAATCGACACACCCAACTCAGCCATACTTACATGTATATAATAATATAATATAGAGAGAGAGAGGCCCACAAATAGATCGAAAAGTAGATCCCCACTAAACATGTATTGCACACCGTGCCACTATCTATTTATAGGGACCACTACCGCTCATCAACTCGACCGCGGCAGCCCGCTCCTCTCGCCGAGCGCTCGAGGTCACTCACTCCACGGTGCACCAGGTCTCAGCCCTGTCCTTCTATCAGGAGGACCGACCGTTCAAACCGAGAACCGCATCGCTGGACCGAGGTCTCGCGTCGCCGGGACTAACGGAGACCAGGATGCGCCCACCAGGATGTTCAGAGACGGACACGGAAGAAGACGGAATTCGGGAGACACGATCATCATTGATCATCAACTAAAGACCGTTCTGCTTCATTCTGTTTTTTTCCCGCGAAAAGTGGACATGTTGGTCGTGGTGGGACTTTCACCTCCATTGTAGCCATTGACCCCTTTCATGGAATGGGACAACAAAAGGCTTGGAGCCTGGCTGGATGATCTTTCGACCTTGGATTCCAGGAGCCCACTTGCCAATGCATGGCCAACAATGCGGCTTGGAAGACATCCGAGCGGAGCGAGGCCAAGTGCATTTTCATCGATTTGGGCGCAGCTGATGGCAACACCTTCGCCAAGTTCATTGAGACACTTGGGCGGCAGCTTTTGGGGGGGATCATTCAGTCTTCCATCGTCACCCCGATCCAAGCTCGATGGTATGGTCGCTGCTGCAGTCGGGGCGCCGAAGCCTTGAACTCGCACCTTGAGACTGGGGGGAGCGAAGAAGAAGAGTGATTCTTTTTCTTCTACATCACTAAGTCTTTAAGGTGAAGGAGTTCTTCTTGCTCGTTCTGGTGTTCTTCTTGCATCAATCTTGTGCATTTGCGAAGGTGTTCTAAACAAGAGTGAACAAATTCCACACTTCCAGCACTCGTCCTCAGCACTCGTCCCCAGCACGTCCCACACGCGATGACTTGGTCCTTTCGTCTCCACAGCCAGGAACGACTATGGCCCAGTGAAGAACTGTCCCAATGGCAAGTGGGAAGCCTACCTTGTGGAGGCTGGACGCTTGAGTTGGGCCAAAACGTTGGTGCGTGGAAGTTCGAGTAGACAACAAGCGCAACAAGACTTCCCTCCTCGTTTTCAATGGAGTTTAAAAAAACGGGATGATTCACGGCGCTTGAGCGATCCGGCTCAGAGATTCCTAGCGATTGCGTTGGGACATGGCTGTGGGTCCAAGCCTGGAGCCCCCAACAAGCACCTTTGCTTGACCTCCACGGTAGCTCAACCAAGTTCTGGATTTGACCCACAGCCAAGTTGTCTTGGAGAAGATCCACGTTCCCGAAGAAATCAACATAATTCAACATGCACTGAAGATGGAGAAGCGGAGAAGCGCTTCTGAAAGTACCCTTTGCATTCCTTTGCCAGACAAACTTGGATACTGCCAGAGGAGGATTTGGATGGATTTGGAAGTAGATTTCCATAGATTTCCTATACCACGAGTGGTTAGTTTAGGGATGGTTAAGGTTCTATAGGTTCAATATACTTGTTTCAGACGGTATTTCTTTAGCAGCGCTGAAGTGTAAATTTACATGCGTGCCTTGTGCCTGGGCATGACAGTGACATTGTGACTTAGGCCAATCCACAGTTCACCAAGGAGTTGAAGGCCTTAGAAGAGACGCTTAGCTCATCAGACTTCCGCCTGCCAGTCCTTGCAGTGAAGGGAAGGCAGACCACTCTGCAAGGCAGACCGATCATCGGTGCTGCTGTCGGTCCTTTTACATACGGTTTTCGGAGCACAGAATCTTGGGTCGGACACCGGCAGCATCCACCAGCAGTTCTTGGCGTGTCGTCATCCATTTTATTGAGTTCAGGCGGTGTTTCTAGCATGTTTTGTGCGCCGTGTGTGTGTGTGTGTGTCAACCTCTGCAACTAAGAGTTCCTTTTCCTTCTTTCCCATTCAAGCAGGGGGCGACAGAGTCGCTGCATGGCTGTCGCCAACGAAGCTCCATGCAGTTGACTAGGATATCACGGCTGATCACCGTGACGTACCTGCTGAACTTTTGACCACGCTGTCTAATTTGCTCTGTTTGATTCCATGGTTCTTCATGCTACCAACCCCCAAACCTTTCCTTGCAGCTGCGCCACGCTGACGATCGACACCGCCGTCCTTGTGAGCTGCACATATGCACAAACCTTTGTTAAACAATACTTTTCCGCGGACTCTGCCACCTTTCTGTTCCATCGCCATTTTTCCTGGGAATTGAGCTAATTGAAAACCAATGTCAGAGTGTGTGTGTGTGTGTCACACCCTGTTTCTAAGGGTTCTTTCAAGATTTGCAGGGGCGTGTGACACTCTTCTCCTATCACACGCAACGAAGCTGTGGAGAAGAGTGGGAAGGGAAACTTGGCCAGTTTCCTGTACCTGCGACGCAACTGTTGATCAAGCCGTTCCACTTTCTGCTTTTTGTTTCATGATACTCCCCCCAAACCTTTCCTTCCCCAGCAGAGGTGCAGCCGCGCTGATCGTTGAGCCGTCTTGCATTAACCTTGTTTCAACAATACAATTGAGCTGACTCTCTCACCTTTCCGTTCCATCGCCACTTTCCTGGAAATTGAGTTAACTGAAAACCAATGTCAGAGTGTCGTGTGTTTCACTTCTTGCTCTCCCATCTACCAACTGAGGAACTTCCCCGGTCAGGCGGGAGCTGTGCACGGGGAGTGGGGCATGTGGGCAGGGCAGAGCAGGGCAGGGCATGCTTGGATTAAGGTTTCAGAACTTCTCCGTGTGGAACCCCATGGACCCCCAACACTGTGCCGAATAAGATTATCTTCCGAAGGTGTAGCTGGCGTAGCCCTTTGGCCTGGGATGTGTGTGTGTGTGCGTTTCTTTTTTCATGGGGGGTAAAGCTTTGGAGGAATGTTCTAGCCTAAGGGCCTCTTGTGGTTTGCACGGGTCCGGAGATCAGGAAGTGAAAAAGGACGGTGGAACAACTATTATGCCCTAGGGATCCACATACCTTCTCAGGAGGTACTTGGGCCCTCCAAGCCCTCACAAATAGTCTCCAATCACCTTCTGAGAAGGTACTTGGATCCCTAGGGATATATAATTTGTTGTTGTCAGCTGGTTTGCCGGGCGTTCTTTCCTTTTTGCCGGCAGCCCAGGTGACAAAACAGGCCCAGTCAGTGCCATGAAGCGTTTCTCATTATTCAAACTTGCCAAAGCCACCACGAACTCTGCGAAGAGCGGGGGAACATTTGGTCTTGAGGAGGAACATCAATGTGGCCGGGTGCCAGGCATTGCCGAGAGAGGCTGGTTGCGGTAGGTGTCCACTGTATACCATGTTCTGAACCTCGTGCCGTCTCACGCTATCTCACTCGTGCACCAGGTTCATTCCTTGGCAGAACATGCCGCCTTCTCCTGCGAGGGTACCACCAGCTTCTTTATCGACACTTGGAAGAGGCAAAGTGCTGACTCAATCGAAGACCCGTGGAGGGTGAAAAGTTGAACTGGGCTTCCGTCAGCGAGACGAGCTACTGGTGGTCAGGGTGTGCACGTTTTGTTGTTCTTAATTACTATTTCAAGGTATAGTAAAGAGTGAGACAAGACCTGGGGCTGGGTATAGTAAAGTATAGGTAACTAGTTGACCAAAATTCACATGACATGGGCTTTTCAGATCAGTATTGTATATAGTATTACACTTATAGTCGCATAGTAGATATGTAGCTTATGGTCAGAGTCAGGTTTGTGATACATTCTGATTCTATTGGGAAACGTGAACGTGAAGTAGACTATAGTCATCGACTATTTGTAGACGCAACATGATGTGTTCTATTTATCGTCTTTGGAACGGTCGCCCGAAAACGTGTCTGGAACACAGCTCAATGGATGGCACTACTCTGGATGCATTCAATCTCTACAAGATCACAAATTACTTTGATGGGATGTTCCTCCCATCGAGTTGCCCCCCCCACCTAGTTGCAACCCCAACCAAGGATTCTCCAGCTCCCTTTCTCAAGCTTCACAAGGTAAGCTGGCTCTGCAGATCTGGCAGATGTGCAGACTTCGTCTCAGAACCGCTTTCCCCCACCGAAGACCCAAGACTTCCCCCTACCTACCGACCCCTTCGTCGACGCACGTGAAGCGGACGCCCGAGGACGTGGACGCCAGCCACAACCACTGGGGCTCCAGTCTCTACGGCGACGCTCCCGATGCGGTGAAGAGCGGCAAGGTCCAAGTCACGGCTCCTCGGAGGAAGGACATCCTCGGGTGTCCACCCGGATGCGTCCAGCGGATCCGTCCGATCGTGTGTGTGTGTGTGTGTGTGTGTGTGTGGTATCTATTGGCCACGAAAGCATGTTGTTGGGGGTTGCTTGCAACCGTAAATGGATTTGAAGGTGTCCAAAGCGAATTAGAAGCCACATGAACTAGTTTGCTCGTGTAAGTTGATTTGACACACCTATTTTTAAGTCATTGACCTCAGATAGAAATATTCTAGCCCTATGGGACCTCCAAGCCTACATCAATAGTCTCCAATCACCTTGTCAGAAGGTATGTGGATCCATACGGTAGGTTTATGATGGTTTATGTGTTTGTGACGGTGACTTCCAATGCACTGAAAAACATCCACTGCAGCTCGCAGGTACCCATGATCAACATCGTCCAGTTGATGCTCGGGCATGGATTAAGTCTAAGTTCATTCTATGGTTGTTCTGAAAGGTGCCAATGTTAGCTGATGCTCCCAAATGCATTGCAAGATCTCAAGTGCCTGCGCAAGCCTCGCCATCGCATGCCTCGTGAGTGCGTGCTACACGTGTTCTCCGTTCGGAACCCGAGCATCTCATGGCGAGGGGGGCGGGCTCGGCGGGCTCTCCTCATGCGGCAGAGCTCTGCTGCCAAGTTGACGAACCCTTTGGGCAGCGTGTTCAGGTGTCCTTCTTTACCGTGCACAACAAGACCAGTAGCTTATACTGATACTGTAGGTAGAATCTTGAAGACCGCCCCAATTGGATTGTAGAAACTCTTTCATCGTACTCTTCATAGATTATGGGGGGGCTATTAATCAAGATATATCAAGATTTTTGCAAAAGGTAGAAATAGCCGGAAGGGAAACCAGACGAGTCTCCAATCATTTCCATTTGGCTCAGCCCCTTTTTGAATCCCCCTACAGTGGGGAGTTGGCATGATCAAGTTCCTCTAGTCTAGTCAATAGAATTTAGCAAGGACACGCACGTATTTGAAGAGTTTTTGTTGATCCAATAGGGAGGGTTATCAGGTGGTCAATGGGGAAGGGGTCAAAACCGATCGAGCCCGACCACACCATGTACAGTAGCTTGACCCACAGCCACTCCCACAGCCAATTAAGTCAACTGTCTACGGTCGTGACCGGTGCGAGGATTGCAGAGAGTGTCCGCCCAGAGGACTGGGTCATGCTACCCGGCCGAAGCACCAAGAGATGCACCGGACGGGGTGGCAGGACGAATCCCATTCACTGCAGCGGTTCATGATGCGAAGACGTGAGAGAACTCACCAGCAGCCCTGAAGCTTAAAAAGCACTCCTATGTTTACAAGGATGCTTTCAAGCCAACTTTATCCAATCTCACCAACATCCGCGTCTTGGAAGGCACCCACAGAAGTGGTTCTGCACCAACTGCACCACGTGTCATTTGTTTCCAATGGGAACATCTACACGAACCCCATACTGTTGGGGATGAACACTTAAACCATGGATAATGTGATAGATCTTTCCCTGAAATAATTTGGGCATGTTCCAACTGGAAATCCTTCGCCGTTGAAGGTGCCACGGTGCGCCGTTGTGTTCTTTCGACGTCAATCACCAGGTTGAAGGTTGACATCGAAGGAGCTGAGTACAACCTGCTGCCATGCCTTGCACAGTTCAAAGACGCAGGCACCCTCGGCGCTCGAACAGCGCACGGTCGGAGCTCGAAAAGCGCATCATGGCGCTTCTTGTTTCCACCTTCTCCCAGACACAACAGTATGTCTTTGCCGTTTTTTGTTAGGCTGTGCAGGTCATAGAGGTACAGTCAGCTGAGGCTGTTGCACCAGTTCAGTTTGTTTTACCGTGCTTTTGTGATTGGGGTAAAGTTTTGGCACTGTGTACATCTCATCAATCAACCTTCCCAAAACTAGCCTGGCAACCGGCAACCCATATAAGAGCTAGAGTTACGAGAATCTTTGTAGCACAGAGGGTTATCGCGCGGCATTTGTCTTTGCAATGTGTTTCACGTTTGGGACTTGCATAGTTGCGCTGCCTTGTTGTGCTGCCAGTCAATTCGTTGGCGCTTTTCCATTGGCTCATTCCTGTTCCATAGAATGAGCAATGTTGCGACCAACGCAACAAAGACAACAAATACAATCAAAAACAATATTGGGACCAACAAGTTGCAACCAGGCGACACAATAACAAAGAATGACATACCAATGACAGCAATTGCGGAAAAAAATACAAAATACGTGGCAGACAAATGACACACACTTACATAATATATTACATATATAACGTTATGCAATTAGACAACATGTTGATTCAATCTGTCCAGGGGAAAGGTTCTTACGCAGCTAGAGATACATACTGTAGGCCCTTCTTTGCTGTACTTGGAGTCATTCAGTTGGAGTATACCATGCCGCAACTTTGTGCATAGGGATGAGGTTTATTTCCTCCGAACTGATCACAAGTCAGGGACGGGTGCATTCTTAGCAGTGTGGAAGAAGAGGTGTGTATAGTAGAGGAATCCGGTTCTGCTGAGGTCACACTATATGAATAGTATGTTAATTAATTAATGTGAAGATTCTTGAGACATCTTGAGACAGCCTCCTGAATTTTGTATTGCCTGATCCTGATGTGTTGGCTTTAGAAAGGACTCCAGCTCCCACAAAGAAGATTGGATTTATGGCATGCTTGGACCGTCATTGAGGGGTCTTTGGTTTGAAAAGGTCCATGCTATTTTTGTAAGGACTTCATACTAAAAGTCCATTGCCAGGGTCATTTGCATTCATTTGCACTTGGAATGTGACAGTAAGCAAACACTATATACTCCCATGCAGCAATAGCCATACGATGACTCCAATTGCACAAGAAAAAACTTGATCTCAAAGTACCAGAACCTGGAATTTGAACCCTTAGAGGTCTCTAATGAGCTATCCGATTAACCTATTGATCATTATTGATCCTATTACTTGATTGACCCACCTATTCTACTATTCTAGTGGATGTTTTGAGATGTGAAGCAACAACAGGCGAATGGAGTGCCAATGCACAAATATCACTTGCTTTTCGGTGTTTCAAGACCGGTCACAGCGCAGGTTTGATCGATCGGATGTACTTGGAGGAGCACTGGTGGTTCCCCTCAGTGACCGTGCCTTGGAGAGTTGCGCCGCTTTCTAGGTTTCCATTTTTTGGGGTGACAGAAATCCCTCCACAGGAAAGGGGATGCATTTCTGACTAATCTCGCAGGTCAGAAGGCTGTTGCTTCACTTTTTCAGCAATTTTGGGAGAAGGGCACTTTGAGAAGTCGGAACGTTCCCTGCCTGGTTCAGTCTTACACGGGCGCAGTATGTGAGGGAGTCGTTTTTTGTCAGGGTGAATTCAGCTGCCGAGCTCAGCAGCTCTTGCAGAAAAATGACCTGTTCGCTGGATTGTTTTTTTTTTTTTTTGCCAGCATCATTCTGATAGTTGTATACGTACCCTCAGGTCCTGATGCTTCATGCAATATATATGCCTCAAGATCCTCAAGGGTTTGTATAGATTCGAGCCGTTTTCCATGTTTTCGAGCCGCGGCTCGCCGCACTTTCTTCTTCGCGACCGTGGGTTGCCGGTCGCCGGTCGCACGTCGCAGGGGTTCAGACCCGACTTCGGGGTCTCGACCACGGGCGATGTGCCCCGCACAGTCTCCGATGCCTCGCGGGGCGGGCGAGACCGTCTGGCTGCTGCCGAGGAACAGAGCAAGAGTGCCCTGGCCCAGAGCAAGAAGCAGCTCTTGGCGAAGCATGTGGACATCCCCCAGTACTACAGTGAGACCTGAGAGACTGAAGGACTGAGTGACCGATGGCTCAACAGGGCCCAGCACACTGGCTCACTGATGGCGACATTGGATCAGTTGATTCTTGTTGGTTTGATGTGCCAGGTTTGTGTATTCAGCCCGGAAGACAGCAGAGTCGGTACGTAGCTCCAGCTGGACATGTGTCTTGCCCTTGAGCTGAGCTGCATGGCTCTTGCAGGAAAAGGAGTGTCCGGGATGATGAGTTTGCATCCACCATCATCCACCTCTGTGTGCTTAGCCATGGTTCACTCTTCCCACCATGGAGTGGTGTCATCAGTTGATCATCAGTTGATCGATGTGATGCCATTTATTGAAGACAAGAGCTTGGTATGTATAGCCCAGACACTGACACTCCATGGGACTGGAATATATACCGTACATTGACCTGTTTCAACCACCCCAATGCATATCTCTTTTTTGCCAGTCCCATGGGTCGTGTCTTGGTAAAGTCGATGCAACCTGGCCAAGTTGAAGTGACACGGCCGCCTACTCGGCTTCATACGACAGCCAAGCCTTTCCCTTTTTCATTCGATTATGTGGGTGAGCAGTAGGGACCATCCTCAAACAGAATCCTGGAACAAAGAAGCCCCCCCGATCTTGGCTGGAAAGCATCTTAAGATCGTTCAGTTACTGAAAAAGGCCAACTTCGAGGGACAACCTTCGTGGCGTTCTGTTTGGTTGAAAAAACCTTTTCCATTGGATCGTGACCGATTCATGATAACTGATATATAGTTGTTTGTCATCCTCCTCTCAGAGTCTCGGTCTGGCGTGAGTCATCAGATCTTATTGAGGCATACGCAGTGAACTCCTATAGGGCTCTAAAAGGGTAGTTTTCTCATGTTTCCTCAAGAATTAAAACTAGTTAGTTAGACAGGTCTTGTTGTTCTCGCTGCCAAGCTACCCGTCTAGGGCCTAGGGGCATCGGAGAACGCACTCATCGTTGAATTAAGCATGCTTATTCTGCTGCATGGCACATGTGACTGGACCAACAATCTGAAGCCGTCCTGGCCAGCAGCGTCACGGTCACTACAGTATGACTTTTGAGAGGGTTTCAGGCTTCAGGAAGATTCTACACTCCTACAAAATGACATGGCTCCATAAAATACACGCGCACGGCAAGACACGATGCTTTTGTAGCATTCATTTTTACTAGGAATTCATGGCCCGCGTTCAGTCAATTTAATCTGTCGACACTGGTCAGTACTGACCTTGAGAAGAATGGAACTGACTATCTTGTGGGGTTTGGACTTTGGACAGGTGTGGCATAAACATCCTGCACACGTGCACTTGCTCAACTACTTTGGCACAGCTCTCGGGCCGAGAAGGGGGAAACAGCTTGAATCCAAGGGTGATTGGCTGTACTGAGGGGTGAGTTATTCAGATAATGAGACTTTTGTTTGTTTTGTGTTTCTTGGTCTTTTTGATTCATCACAAGGGTCCTGATTGCGTGACTTGGGAAAAAGCTTTTGCCATCCCTGGCTGATGGATGTGGCGCTATGCCTTCGCTGCGCCTTGGGGCGGCTCTTCTCAACACCGAGACAATGGGGTGGAAACGAGACAATAGAGAATGGCACGGTTTTCGGAGAAAGATGGGCTTTTAGAGAGCTTCATGTTGCATGGACCTTCTCGCGTCTCGTCTTCTCCCTTTCTATTCACGAAGTGGAAAGGACTGCCTGGGCTGAACATGTTTGGGAAAGGACTACCCGGCATTTGCCGCAAGTATACGTAGTCTTTGGGTCCCACGACGTTTTCAAGACTCCTTCAGCTTCAGATTGTCGGTCTTCTCGGGTTAGCATCGATGCTTGGGAGCGATGTTGGGTTCTCGAATCACAACCACGAATGGACAAGTAAAAGAAGTCTTTGAACCAGGAAACCCACCATAAAACGGTTTTTTTGCGGGTTATATAAATCACCACACAAGAGGTGATTTGTAAGGGACTGATGCATCTACAGTGGCTCTTTTTGCCTGAGATGTTGCTCTGAGGACCCAGGTTTCCGCTTGCCATCGCAGCCTACACCGACTGCCGCTTGGCCGTTTCCGCTGATTGAACAACGTATTGTCCTGTGTTCGTCTTGCATGAGAAGCTTCGTCCATGTTCCTCCCACCCAACATTGTTTTGGATTCTTTTCTAATCAATTGTCTATACTTGCTCGGTGCATGCGCATGGAGTGAGAGAGAAAACGAAGGAGAGAAGTGTGCACGTACAGACCAAACAGAAAACGCATCAAACAAGTCGACTCAAAACCGGTGAAACTGCCATGCGAAACCGTCCACGCGATCCTTTCCCTCTCGGAAGCTCAGAGAAGGAGTGGCACCTCGTCGTAGGTGCAACGTGATTGATCTCTGTGTCACCGGTGGATCCTTCACGAAAAGGGAGGCCAAACCCGCGCCATGGCGGATCAGCTTGTGCGTGAGCAGATCAGCGAGTTCTATGACACCTTCAAGCTCTTCGACGAGGAGTGAAGCCTTCACTGAAGCGAAGTGGAACCCACCCTACCCAGTCACCTGGAGGTTCCCCCTTCCGGACGGGGTCCGTGCCGCCGGTGCACCATGAGACTTCGTTGAGTGAGACTTCGTTTGCCATCAGTTCTCATCATTCTTGACCATTCATGACTGTTTCAAGGGTATTGAGGCTCTCATACATATCCTGATATCCCTAGGGCTCCAACCATATCCTCAGGAGGTGGTATTCGACCCCCCTGGCACCCACCCCAACCATCTTCGAAACGGAGGTGGGACAGGAGCCCTAGGGTATATCCGTTCCTCACCATTCCCGCTGAATTGTCCGCTTCCGGGCCCAGGGACCTGGGCGAGCGAGCGCAGGCCCTCGAGCGCTCGCCAGGACAAGGATGACAAGCTCTCGCTGAAGGAGTTCGGTACATTGCTCAGCTCCCTTGGGCAGAACCCCACCGAGCAAGAGCTTCAAGATTGGATTGGTGGAGATGGCTACTCGGCGTTAATGACTAACCACTAAAAAGATGGCCACTGGACACTGGAGATGGCAGCCCTCCCAAGGGGAAGACATCCCTGTGTTGTTGCTGAAAATCGTTGAAGATTAATATGTAATTGAATTGACATGTATTGAATATATATATATATTTTATGAATATATTAATATGTATGTGTATGTGCGGCAGTCTGTGTTCAATTCAAATGTTCTGAAGGGACACCCTCATTCTTCAGTTCAAGGGTTGCAAACAAGCACTCAGAAGAGAAGTCGTGGACAAGGAAAAACGCTGTTTGGACCCTCAACGGCCCCTCTTTTGGGAATCACTAAATATATCCATGTCATTTGCAGTTTCATCCCAGTTTGCCACTGTTGTTGCTTCAGACATGTGTGAGAACCAAAGACAGCGACGAAACAACAACGACGCGTCGGGGTTCCGGTCTTGTGACGGTCCAGGTGAGCATGATACCACTCGCATTGACTTCCACACCTTCTTGTCATTGATGTCACGCAAGTTGAAGGAGACAGAGCCCTGGCCGAGACCACATGCTTCTCTTTGGGCGTCACATCGTGTGTTCCAAACATGATGGGAGAAAAGAGAGAGAGAAGAGAGAGAGAGAGAGAGAGAGAGAAGAGAGAGAAAAGAAATTGGACGGCGCAGATTTGGATGGTTTGGTCTTTCAATCGCTTCAAGTAACTATTGAAACTATTACTGTACATTAGATATGTTTTTTTTGTTCTTGGAGCTTGGACTTGGGGAACGTAACCAGGGTCAGGCTCAGGGAAGTGACGTTCCTGCAACGTGTTTGAGAGCCATGCAGTTCAGAGTTTTTCTCGGGAAACGTGTGAACAGCACAAACTACACTGCACCGTAGCGAACGAGCTGCATGAGCTCCTCCAATTCTCTAGAACCTTTGGAAGATAAGATTGGACTGTGCAGTCAACACAGGCTTGCGGCCAGTTGACTGCGATTGCTGAGGCTAGAGAGCCTGTTCCAGAGATCCTCCGAGGTAGGATTTAGCCGATGAAGTCATGACATGGTTGTTTAATTCAAGGCCGTGGCCCATTCCGGGCCCGGGCGAACGCATTTGGCATGGATTTGGCATGGTAGGTGTTCTTGACGGGATTTTCCAGGATGTTTTCTAAAGTGAACTCTTGATATCTCTTGATTATATTTCACCTCCCTAATATGAAGAGGTTTCACATTGCAAGAGTCTACATTATATAGACCTCCCTTCACGTCGACCCCCAAAGACGCGTTTCTTGCATTCTTGCCTTCACTACATAGGGAGTCCAGAAGAAATTCACATCAATTCACCATCACCAGGCTCGGAATCCCATGCAACACCCATTTAGACCTGAACCCAGAAACCATGGCCATTTTGCTGGCCACCTTCACCAAGGACACTGAAGAGGAGCTCATCGAAGCTTTCAAGGTCTTCGATCGCGACCGCGACGGTGGCCCGGACGCGTTTTTCATCGTGGCGGCGTGGGCTCGGGGCTGTCCGGGAGTCCAGGGGCCCGAGGTATTTGCTTGGTATTGGGAGGTCTTGGTGGTATGGTGAGATATTAGCTTGCCAAAAGAAATAGAAAAACCAAGAGATCGGACGAAGCAAGAAGAAGTGAAGTTCCCTCCAGGTGTCGATTCAAGTTGTAGGTGCATTCATGTACAAATCATTTGGTTGTCATGAGCCATGATACAGAAGGGATTGTGTTTTGCGAGTGTTTCCTTTTTTTCTGCGCTTTGTCCCTTGGTCGCTACGGCCACCGATGACGCTCAAGAACTCTGGACTCTTACACAATCCGCTGGACGCAGGCTTAGCTTTCAGTGGATTTCCGGTATGCTTTCACTGCCAAGCTTACGGATACTTTTCATGATTCAAATGTTGCGGCGGTGGTTACAACACGTGCAAGAAGGTGGGGGCATGTGCAATGTTTCGCATTTGGTGGGTTAGTGTATGCTCATGTTTTGTTGTTGTTGTTGTTGTTGTTGTTGTTGTTGTTGTTACGTTGTTGTTGTTGTTGCTGTTGTTTGTGAGATCACACGAGGGAGTACCCTGGCACGTTTGGAGAAGTTGTGACCATTTTTGGAGTATGGTATGGTACAGGGAACTGAATTGACAGCACGCACCTTGTCTAGGACAAGAATCAGGTGGGGAGGTTTTTCCTGTGCAGCAAAGGGCACGTGGTTCTACTCGTGGTTCTATAGATTCTGCAATTCAAATTGCAGCGTCGTTGGTGGACCATATGGTCCATAAGCACCTATCAAGAATCGAGGCCAGGAATCCATCCAACTCTTGGTCACGGCTTGAGCTGTGGGGTGCTGTTGGGTGTGGTATGGTGTTGTAATCTCACGGCCCTTTGGGAGGCTGGGTTGAGACAGATTGCTGACTCACCTGGCGAGCCAGGTGTTCCATTCGCTGCGAGCCATGTTCTTCAGCTTTGCAGGGTTACTCTCCCTGGAGCCCAGTTTGTAGAGGAAAATGGTTTTCCAAGGGGCTATTCTCCACCTCATTTTAGTTCCAGGGTAGTTTCTTGCTTTTGATTCAGAACGACTGACGGGTGACGTGTGATCACCCAACTCAACACACCAAAATCCCTCCAAACCGATAGACCCTCACACCCAACCCCTCCCCCGCCCAGAAACCCTCTCCTTCTGAAAAGCCTTCTTTCACGCTCACTGGAAGAATGCAGGATGTGCTTCCTCAACCTCCCCAGCCTCTCCTCCAGCCTCTCCACCCTCCCCGCGTGCTTTGAGGCTTCATCTCGGGTGGCGAGCTTCGACAGTCCATGACGAACCTGGGTGAACGCCTGAACGACACGGAGGCTCGGGGTCAGGAACCAGCGGTCACTGGATGTTCGCAATGACCGGGGGTCAGTCAGGGTTCTCCCTGTCATCCACGTCAAATCCACTGTGATGTGTTAAGCTAGGGGTCTTTCATAGCTTCAGGGAGACCAGACACGCTTCTGTAGGAGGAGAGATGCTGTGTACGGAGTATTGTGCTGGTTTGGAAAGTGGGAAGAGGTTCAGGCAGAGAGGGGTGACATTTGTGTGATTTCAATAGTGCAAAGGTCCATCATGTAAACCAAGAAAGGCCCAGCCATATAGTATATACTTTCAGACAGTCAGCTGCGCCAGACTCATGTCCCTAGCAGCTGCGGGTTCAGCACGTCGATGGTTTCGGTAGGTCGACTACCTGATCCAACGCCTCGGTCGGTGTGAAAGGCATTTTGTGTGATTTCTATCCATAGTGCATGGGAGACTAGACTGCGTCCACTTTGTCTGTCCTGGCCCCTTTGTGTTAGGCTGCGCTCCTTTCTGTGGTGTTTTCGCGAAAAACTGCCCCTGGTGTGTGACGTTCCTTTCTCGCTGTGTCCAACCGCACCGGGCTCGTGAAAAGGGCTCAACTTTTGTCATCAGGTGGATGAGATGATCAAAGAGGCAGATTTGGACGGAGATGGGCTCATCAATTATGATGAATTCGTGAGGATGATGATGGCCAGCAAGTGAGAAGAGGATGAACATGTATGGCCATCCAAGTGGGAGCCTATGAGAATGAATCAAGGCCAGAAGAAAGGCAGCGGGTGGTCTAAGGTGATTGTCATGTGAATACAACACCGAACCCCCAGAAAACATGAATCAGGTATGTGGCAAAGGATCCATGTAATAGCGGTTTTAGGGCCTTAGGATGTCCTTCACTTTTGCGAGAGGGTGGCTTAGGGTTTGGTCACTTTCAATCCGAGCAGAACTGATGCTGCAGTAATATCTTTTCATTGTTCTGTTTAGGAACTTTGACTTGAAGTGGTCCTTCTTGTGCAGGTTAGCCGGATAAATTGCGGTCGGGTCATGACGGTGGCGTTCAAGGTCATTACGGTGGTGTTTCTGTCGTGAGACAAACATGTCAAGATTGGTGAGTAGAAAGCACCTCCAGCACCATATGCTCACCTTTTCTCCTCTTAGCATGACTAAAAGACACAAGACATCCTGGATAGACCTTGAAGTTGTTGAGGAACGGCAGCCCCATCCAAAAGAACTGGTGGGATGGTTTCACAATCACATAGGCTGTCACATAGGGATCATCTTGCGGAGGGTTCGCAATAGCATTGTCAGGTGCTGCAGAAATACTTGACCCAGGAGTTTGCAAGAAAGCCTTCCATATCCTTCCATCTACAGAGTTTCCAGTCAGTTCATCGCTACAAGGGTGGAGGCCATCGCAGGCCATTGCTACTACAAAAAATGCAAGTTCTCCCTCAGAGACTCCGATAAAACCTGCCGTGGAACCCACTGCCCGGCCGACCGCGTCTCTCGCGCGGGACTCTCGCCAAAGGCGACCTGTCCGCGCTTTGAACCCGTCCGTTCGGGGAAGCGTTTCACCCACCGGGCTGACGCCACTGCGACATGGCCAACTCGTGCCCCATCGCGGTGGAAGAGCAACGACCTTAAAGAACCCCGAACTGGCTGGAAGAAAGTGCGTGATTTTTCAGTAGAGGGCGAGTTCTTCTGTGTTTTTGGGGATTGGACTCCGCACACTGGCTTGCACAAGACGTGGGTGCGATGTGACTCCAACTCGCTAACACAGAAGTGGAAACCCAATCCTCAAGAACCCTCACAAAGATGAATGTCTCCAAGCTCGTGCTCGTCCTTGTCTTAAGTCGCTAGCTTTACAGACCCTTTTTTGTTCTTGCTTTGATTGACCAGCAGACAAGTTGAACCCCCTGGAAGACAACGTGCTTGTAGCCGCCGAGGGTCGTGTTTTTTCTCTCAGTGGCCGAGTTTCCCAAGAACCACGTGTAGCAACATCTGAGGTTAGCGGTAGGAGGTTGACTAGCTGGTGCCTCCTCCCGGAGCGACTGAGGGGAGCGACTGGGGGGTATCAATCTTCCAGAGCAGCTACAGTTCCCCAAGGAAAAGAAGAGCACAATGAATTCCTGCACGAAGAAGCGCCATGGCCTTTTTGGGGATTTGCCCCGCCATGGCGGTGAAGAGAAGGGTCATTAACCTTCCGGCAGCTCTTTTCGCCCCAAAAGCCATCTTCCCTTGTGTTGCACCCCGAAGTCGGGGTGAAGGACAGCAAGGGTACAAGAGTCATCATGAAGGACAGGAAGCTCCACGGTGGAGAACTCTGGGGCGACCTCCTTACAGATGGAACTTGAGGTCGTATCCGTTTTTTGATCAAGAGGAGTCCTCCCCTCCCCCTCCGCCAAAAGAAGCTTCCAGAATAGATGGTTTCCAGATGGAAGTAGGTGGAAGGTAGGTGCAAGTCAGTGACCTGTTGCACTCAGAAAACACCCGGACATGCAGGGCACCCGGAACGCACGCATGTCCGGGGACCGAGTTCTCACAGGTCTGGGCACTGAGCTGGTGTCCGGGGACGTGTGGACGGTGGCTCGCGAAGTGGACAAGGCAACTCGAAAGAAGTGCTTGGATTTGGATTCGTCCGAAGATGGTTTGAGGATGTCGAGACACACACACACAAAGAAATCCCAACACGTGAGCAGATCAAAACTCTTTTTTCAAAGGTCCTAGGCTACTTCTGACATGTTCACGTTTGTGGCACAGCACCACACGTTTGGGCAAGGACGCCAGATGTGAAGTCGGATTCATGACCTGCTCCAGCGTGTTGTGGTTCATTCTTTGAGTGCAAGTCTGTGAAGCTTTGGGATCCCCAAGAGCAGCTCCAGACGCTTCAAAACAGATTTATCGGTGTTGTGTTGTTTTCTAATTGCTACGTCAATAATGTATACATATGTCCAGGAATTTGCTGTGATCATGTGCAATCAACTCTGAATCTTTTTGTCACTGGAAGGCGCTGCAGCTTACCCATGTGCCGCCCCAGTATGGTTTGGAGCAACTTGGATGGAATAGTAACTACAGTCCGACGTTTTGGTTGTCTTTTGCTGTATTTCAGCAGATGAAATCAGTTGGCCCAAGCTACCCAAACTATGGCCAGGCCCCCCCCTGGAAACAACAATACCGACCCTGTTTGCTTGGTGCTTCAGGTGGAAAAGTACTTTCCAAAAGTGCCTCACCCTCCCCCTGGCAACAGCAGCTACAATCGGAGGCCATAAACCTCATTATATAGAATTCATTGCAACTTTTTGTTTGAGGCTGCATCGTGTACAAGTCATTTGCACAACCAGATGAGCACTCACATATGTGGCCGCCTTCACATGGGAGAGTTGGCTCGTTCATGTGGTTGTTCATGCTTGGTATGGCATGTTTGACAGACTCGAAGGCCAGGACTGTTGTTAGCTAGTCGAACCTGGAGGTGCCCTCATGGTAAAGGCCGATCATTTCTTTTCCCGGCCCTCAAACACCATGTAGCAATGTTGCTTGACCTCCCAGGTAGGTCAGGTAGGTCAACACTGGCATCCTGGTTTTGACACAGAGCCCACAGCCAAATTTCTCTTGAACCGTCTCAATGACAAATCCAGAGTGGTCGAGGATTTCCAGCATCAACAGCTTTCAATTCAGCGCAAAGCTCTTTTTGTCCCCACCTTAGGAAGGGAAAAGCAAAAGCTTACAATCCTCATTCCAGCCAAGCAAGTTATTTTTGTTCAACGTCAGTTTCTGTTCTTGACAGCCCAGTGATCGTAGCCTCAATTGGCCTCATGATTTGCTAGATCCAGGCTGTCGAATGCCTTCTTCGGCTTGGAACGATCGGGGGCAATTCCAGGAGGGCCGGGGAGCTTGGAACGTCTGGGCCAGAGTTGGCTGGAGCCCCAAACCTGGAGCTGGAGCCACAAACCCTGATGTCTGGTAGTCTATTCTGTCCATCCTCTTGCCACTTCAAGATATATGATGTGGGACTGGCGCCATTCTGAATGTTTGACATGTTTTTGTATGTTTTTGTTTACCAGCACCCGACTCTACAAACAGGTCTCTGAAATGGTGGCTTTTGACTTAAAAGTCGCAGGTGGTGACCTGTAGAGTCGGGTGCTGGTATACCTTTACAATTGCCTCTTCAATTGGAACGACAGACCGTTCCGCGCGCGAAAGCGGGGTTTCACCGGAAGCGAGGTGAAACGACGGTTCGATGGCCCGAAAGAAGTGATGTATTTGAAAGGATTTAGTATAATAAAGATAAGTATATGTATAAGTATAAGTATTGTAATATCTAAATAAGTATTGCAATAATAGTATTGTATTTGATCTTGAGTATTGGAATATATTTCAGAGATGATATGCCAAAAGAAATTCACAGACCGTGCTGGATTGTCCCTCTACATTAGATTATATTTGTATACACATTTGTGTCTTGTAGCTTGGGATGGCCTTAGAGAGAGTGGGACCCGGCCCGCCTCCTTTGACCAAACCGTCCTGACCTGAGCTTCCAAGCCCCCCAGGAGCCATTGAGGATTGCGCCTTGGGCATGGCGGTGCTGGTGTTGAATGCCCTGCCCCAAGCAGAACTTCGCTTTGGCACCAGGACGAGCCGGCCGTGGGATCCGAGCCCAATGATTCGCGACGAGATCGTGGAGGGATCCGAGTTCGCTGCTTCGCGCCGGTGGGTAGCTGTCGTTTTGCAAGGGGGTGTATTGTACTATATATATATATATTATATTAATATGTATAAACCCTGGAAAAAATGAAGGATCCGTGGCAAAATCAAGCCAGGAGGGCCAAGGAGTATTATATCCTTTATGAAGAACTTCTCAGACGCTTGAGCTGTGTGTGGGGGCGCAGAAGGCTGGGCTGAAGAAGGAAGAAAGGTAGGACCAGGTGAGCCTGTGAGCCAGGTGGCAGAAGGAAGATGTCACCGTATTTAGTATGTGCCACTGCGGCTTTTTTACTCTCAATTAACATTAAGAGTCGGTCGGCGCATGTCGGTGCCTAAGAATCACTGAGAATTTCCTTGGTATTCATTTGCTGCTCGATGCGGGGCTAGGGGGCCCAGGCTTTAGCCACGATTGTTGAAGCATGTGAACAGCTGCGTGCGTGGCTCAATGTTACGACCCCCTGCCAGATGAGTTGGCCATTTCACTGCGACTGGCATCATAGCTTTTATGTGTTTTTTTTTATATACGATTGTTCACAACCCCTTTCTAATCACAAGTTCCTTGCACCTTGGCAGTTCTATGTTCGATTGGCTGTGTTCGGGTTACCCAGAGGAGCTGTGTTGCGCAAAAGCGCTGCTGTCACTATGGGCCAGGCTATGGGTAGTAAAATGTGTAAGGTGAAGAAGAGGTGGAAACATGTGGAAACAAAGTTGCGAACTTGTCCTGAAACATTGGAGGAGGTACTTGTGGGTCCCTGGACCAGATCTGCATCCATATTTCCAATCAAGGCAAAAGCCGCACCGGTCTCGAAAACGGTGTCCGGTCTCCCACGTCCCTCCATTTGTCACTCAGAAAAACCCCATTTCTTCGTCTCCACAGCAGAAGCAAGGAAGCTACGGGCATTTGTGGAATGCCTCGGGCTTCAAATGGAGCCTCAAGACCCACCAGTCCGTCCCTTTGCCGAGTTGTGGAGGGTCTGTGGTGTGGCGTCAATGCATGGACTAGCAGCTAAGGCTTTGACATTGAAGATGTTTGAGCAACTTTTTGGGGTAGGTGCTTTGGCACGATCATCATTCCTAATCCTAATCCTCATCCTCATCCTCATCCTCATCCTCCTCATCCTCCTCATCCTCCTCCTCCTCATCATCATCATCATCATGCACCATCGAACTAACACCCAGCCTGAACATGGAGACAAAGAAGGACCATATGTTGTTGCAAGCCGACCATTTCAAACTACTTGGCAGGGTCATTGGAACAGGTTCAGGCATGTTGTTTGTCAGTCTTGGTGTGATATCTTTCTGGAGAGAGGTGTAGTCGAGACAAGCTGTGAATACGAACCTGAAGCACTGACAGGACACGTAGGAGTGATAGCTTTCGAGTAGAGTAGAGCACTTGCAGATGGAAGATGAAGGAAGATGGTCTGGAAATTGGATAGAATCAAGTATATCTTGTACAACTGGAGTAGATTTTGCAGAAGGAAGATGAAGGAAGATTGTCTTGAGTTGCTTTGGGGAAGTGATACAGGATTAGCCTTTGACACGAGCAGAGATGTCGGCACGCATGCTGGTGCCAATGGCAGGAAGATGGAAGATGTAAGGATCAAAACTGAAGAGTTATCACCCGGAACAGGCTGGCTATCCTTTGATTCTGGGTCTTCGCCCACAAAGCTGCTTCGGATTGGATTTGAATCTTGCCAGAGTCAGTGATGTCTTGGCGCTGGTCAATACATTTACAGTATTATCATGCATTTATTCCTATACATCCACTCAGCCAAACATGGCATGGGGGTTTGGACGTTCAGGGAGAGTGATATATGGTCCACCAAAAGACCACTCTACTACACATTACTACACGAGAGAGCGAGAGAGTGTTTGTTCCATACCTTTTGTTGATATCACTTCGGGCAAGTGTCAAGTGTGCTGCATCCACATCCTAGTGGTTGACTGTTACCTATATATTGTACAGCTGTAAGCACACCGTGACTCACATTTGTTTGCTTTTTCATAATGATGTCCCATTACTGGTAGTGCAGAGTCATCATGAACAGCTGACATGCTCAGTCTGAGGAAGATTTTCGTCTATGAGACGGACTTCGCCAGCAAGCCAGTGATTTGTAGCCAAGGGATGTTTGCCAGCGAGGTCTCTTGCCAGCAGTGCATGAAAAACGCGGCCTGGCTAGTGGCTAGTTGGTGCCTTGTGACGGAGCAACACGGGGTCGGAAGCATGCGTATTCCCCATGTATTCCGGGAGCTGTTCGGAGCTACAGTCCCCTCTAACCACTTGCTTGCGAGATGGTGTGTGGGAACATGGGTTGAATCTTGGATTGCGCGGGACGACCTGGACTGAGAATGCCCAGACATAAGAAAGAACCGCCCAAGTGTTTGGTGACCGGTGGCTGAGGCAAATGATACCCCGTCACTCTCCCCCCCGGCAGGTGAGCAGTGGCAACCCGTGCGACCCAGACACTCCATGGAATATTTACCTACCTCCGGTTCAGAGGACCAATGTAGCCACACCATCCATGGAGTGTTTGGGATATGTGGCAAAACATCGCTTTATATACTGTTCACAAGACCGGCGACCATCTCAGGCGTTTTGAGCCTTTGCGCCGAGGTCTTCGTTCATCAATTTCTGCTGCACAGCTCATGCCACACTGAAGACCCCAACGAAGCTGATTTCTTCTTTGTGCCGGTCTACGCGGCCTGCGTGATGACCAAGGAGAAGAAGTTGGCAGATGAAGCTTGATCATTGGAGATCCGTTGCCGAGATTTTCCTACACCAAGACGTTTTGGAACTGACGCGGTCCATTCCGGGCAACGGCATGGAAGATCACAAGCAAATCCAGAAACACAAAAACACATTGGTTTTTGTACCCCAATGAATTTGGAGTTCACACTCCAAGTTTCATAAGACGTTCTTCTTAGATTTCTTAGGGCGGGTTACCGATCCAATCTTCGCCTTCTAAGCGACCAACTGTTTTACAAGACTTTTGACACTGCAGGTTGACTCTGGCCAACCATGGCGGGCATGGCCAGAAGCTGATAGACATTGATAGACCTCGCAATATATATATATATATCCATGGTTCAAGTCAAGGTTGGATTGTTTGTTTTTCTTCAGTCTCTCAAGTTTTACTTGGCACATCCATGTGGCCCACTTGGTCAGTGTTCGCTTCTTTGGGACACCGAGGCCCCCTTGAAACATGGCTTGATTTGGGCGAGGTCAAATCACAGAGCGCCATCAGCAATCAGCAACGCAGGGCCTCCACTCTTGGGGTGATATAACGAATGGTGAGACTTGCTGAGCAGGCAGCTCAAACGATGTCTTCATACCCTGCATGTCCGGAATGAGACTTTGCTAAGGGCACCCTGGGTGCAAAGTGAGTCTCGACTCTGAAAGCGAGTTATATGTTATATAAGGAGATGGATTTCTTCTACAAGGAGCTGGTGACGGAGAAGCTTCGGTATTTTCAGGACCAAGGAGGTCAAGATCATATCTTCCTTTGGTCTTCCGAGCTTTTTGTTTGCACTGGTCACTAGTCGAGTCACGAACGTGTCACTAGTCATGAAAACGGGCAGGTCCTTCAAGCCATTGGACTACCGATCCTCAATATTCTGCCTCGATAGAAGTCCAATGCAACTGTTATTGGTAATTTATATAATCAGCACAATATACAATAGTAATAATCAGTTGTTAGTGGCATTTTTAATATACAGTATTGATAACGGTAATCCAGCACACGCCAATTGTAGGAGCATTGTTACTGGCATGTACTGCAATGTACTGTCATATTCTATACCTGTCCAAATTTGTTGAAGGGAATCAGATTCCCCATGTTGTCAAGGACCTACGATTTCCCATCATGGGTGGATTACATCGCTGATTCGTTGTTTCTTTCAGTTGAAGCTGTGCCAATCGAGTGCGCCGTGGCAGCAGGGGAGCTCACCAGAGTCGAGGTGAAACTTGGTCAGATGATTTTAGATGTGCCTAGAACTGGTGGAACATCATCGTACTTGCCTACAAGAAAGGAAGGGTATATTCTTTGCAGTATACTTCTTGAATGAAACGGGGCTGGCCAACGGCAGTCCAGACGCATGATACGCATAAAAAAAACGGCAGTCAAGCACAGACGTGCCTAGCTATAGGTACAGACTTCGACTTTTTCTCTGAAGAGACGGCAGACAACTTTGGAGCTCATTGTCAGCATTGCCACTGGTGCTTCACCCGTTGGAAGGACTATGTGATCCCTGGCTTTGTTGACCCTCGGCTGGTTTCTTAGAAAGGAACTGTGCAGCTGTTCGGCATGTATGGACCCTATGTTCTTTTCCCGGCGCGGCCTTTTTCTTTCCGGCTCAGGAGAAGTGGAGCATCGAAAAGATGAGGGATCTGGAAAAATCACATGAAGAAAGGACCTTCACAGCCTGCTACTGGGCCGACTGGGCCGAGCCAGGATCGCCAAGAAGGAAGGATGGACTTGGGTTGGAGTGGAACGGCCACACGGGCCCCGAAAAACAGGACCTATATCAATTGGATTCATATTCGACATCAGACTTTGCCACCAACTTTTTTTGTATGGCCTTTTTGGTGGCATTCCTGAATCACAACTGGCCGTTTCCCTATACCTATCTCTGTTGGACGCTTGGATTTGAGCTTCCGGAGCATTGATGCTTCAATCTGTTTCATGCTGTCCAAGGTTATCATGGAGCAGACTCAGATGCCCTGGCCATCTACAAGTACGCCAATACCACGGCCACTTCGCTCGGGGCTCGGTCTTCGACCGGGTCCAGGGTCCGGGAGGGTGGGTCGAGGTGGGAGGATGATTCCGCTCCCTATGGATCCACTGCCACCGAACCTCAGAAGGTAGGCTTGGACCCTCCAAGACCTCCTGGCGCCTACATACTGTAGTCTCCAATCAACGTACCTGAGAAGGTATGTGGATCCACAGATGACTGTTACTTGGAAGTGAATAGTAGTGACTATAATTATAATGAAAAGAACGTCAATCAGTACCTTTCATCAGACGGCTCGTTTTTGATGCGCCGTGTTTTTTGTTGCGCAAGTATGTTTGAGGAGGTGGTTCGTTTTCGCTGCCTGACGGGAGGTTCCAATGGTCCAATGTTGGATGACCCTGAGAGGGTTGTAGATGGTCCACACTGCGACTGGGTCCTCACATGGTCCGTGCATGGATGGATCATGATGGATCCCTCTGCATAGCGCATAGCGAGCCAGCTTGGTGTCCTCACATGGCGGCTTCTTTTTTCTTTCTTCTTGGTGTATGAGAAGTGGGGAGAAGAGCCAGCAACGGATCCCTGGACGCCGAAAGCATCCGATTTGGGAGATGACGTAATGCAATGCAGTTATATGCATCTATCCAGTGAAGCTGAGGAAGGATTTGTTCATATAGGCCGATAGAAGTGAAGAAGACGTGGTCCAACAGTCCAACAGCAATAATGGCCAATGATTGTTACAATGCTGAGGGTTAATGAAACTCTCACCAAACCTAGAGACCTTTGAAACAACCACTGAAGCAATTCTTGAACATCCACATCCACCGCCTTTGTCAGGACTCACGTCGCGTTTCGCACCTCACGTTGCTCGTCACGTGAGGTGCGAAATGACCTGCAGACACTGAATGGACGCGCCAACTTTAGCATCGGCTACCGCTTCACCAGAATCACGGACCGGACCCGGTGGCATCCATTTTTTGGGTTTGGACCATGAGTGGCATGATCCCTCATTTCTGCTTGAAAAACACGTGTCTCTCTTAGGATCGGAGTGGCATGACAATGTATGATAATGTATGGACATGTGGTGAGCCTTTGATTGAAAGGGGAGGAAGTGAGAATCTTGAAGTTCAGCAATTTGGCCTACAGGGCCTGCGATGTTTTTCCACATTGACCCTAGAGAGTCAAACGAACCCACACATCCTTGGTGGAAGATCGAAGCCTCACCTCATCCCACGAGTCGGGTCGACCGGGTCGTTGCCAGGTCGTTGCCAGGTCGACTGCCGGCGCAAAACGGCGTCCGGACTCGGGGAGTCGAAAGCAGGAGTACTTCGAGCGCATCGGGGAGTGCCACTTTTGCTTTGCGCCCAAGGGTTTGGGCCCTTCGGAACGGAGACCGGGGGACGGGGACCTGACATGTGGTGATGGATGGGCGAAAGCGGATCAAGGAGTCTAGCGAACGCACCACCGGTAGTACCAAGAGCGCCCTTGAGGATTTTCAGGGATATCCATGACCCAGAGGAACCTGATAGTAGAACAAGTCATTTGATGAGTTGGAATTCTTGTAGCTGGCTGTCCCCATTGAAGGCGGTATCCAGATGGATGATCCGTGACCTGCCGACCACATGGACGAAACTTAAGGAACCCATCGCCTTTGGAATAAGGGGCGGCCGCAGTCGTGGTCCTTTTTGCTGGGAGCTTTGTACGGGCACAGCTGGCCAGCAGCTGTTTTGTTTGACACCGATTGGAACCGCAAGCAAAGGATCCATTTGGATTCTATTTGTACATTTTGGATGGCCCAGCTTATTGGCCAGCATCACCTTGTAAGGGCCAAGCTGTACAGAACTATCGATCAGAGGCAGATCCAGAGGTTCCAAAACAGAGAATAGAATAGGAATGATCTCGAATATAGATGGGATCACTAAACTACCTACGGTTCACCTACCAGTTCCTCTCTTGGATATGAATACTTTTGGTCAAAAGTTGGTGTTCTTTTCTGGGTTCACTACACAGGTCCTGAAACCGTTGCTTGACTTATTGACCAATTGTGTGATCAAATAATACGGAGCCGAGCTGAACTAAGCTGGTGAATTGGTTTCGATCACTTGTTTTGGGGTTTGGTGTTTGAAAGACTTTTGAGCATCCATACACACACACACACGTATGTATGTATATGTATATATATATATAGAGATGAGAAACGGCAATCCCATCACCAAGACATCGATGATCATCGATGGCCCATTGCATTGGTATGCATGCATGCATCCACATGTCAGACTCCAACAAAAACCCAGCAACCCGTCCAGACTCGGGACCAAAATATACGAAACCCCAGAGAAGATGGAGATCTCCGTCTCCGTCTAAGGCTCTCTTCTTTCACGTCCCTGGCACCGCCCGAGCCAACGAACCCCGAAAAGCGCCGGTCAGGTTACTGGAGCAATCGGCTTTACGAGGTGTTGTTCGCTGGATGCATCCCAGCGACTCAGTAGCTTTTGAGAATGCAGCTGGGGAGGAAAGGGGGCAGGCAATTCCCTTCGCAGTCCTTGTGTGGAGGATGTTTTCCTCCCATGGTCCATGTATCCACATCCTGTAGCAAGCTGTCAGACATGGTGTCAAGTTAGGCCACCCTTTGACAAAATTAAATTTACGAACTGCCTTACCATCACCAGATGCTGAACCGGCCCAACTGATCAGGAGTCATGTGCTGGTCCACTGATCCTGGAGTATGGCTGAAATGATGAAAGTTAATATCAGTTTGTGAGAGGCAGGCAGCTCCTGAAACAACACAACAAATTGTCATAAATATCCTCGTTTTGTTATGTTGCCTGACTTGATGCATCGCAGTTTTTGTGTCTCATCCTTCCCACTCTTTGTGCCACTCCTCTTCCGCCGCCAGCACGTCGAGACGAGCGTAACTAGCTTCTTGTGACTGCCAGGAGCGCCCCGGTTCGATGCCGCCTTCCGCCCGTCTTGCTCCGTTCCGGTGGCCTTCAAAGACTGGCTCCGTTCGAGACGCATCCTCTGAGTTACGGACGCATCGCGTCCTCGCGGGGGCCCTCAGGTGATCCTCTCGGATCACATCGGACTTCCCTTCGACGACTTCTTGGATTGGCGCCGCGGAACGGAATGGCCGGAGCCCGGACGGGCGAGGTGACGGCGAGGTGACGGTGAATGTAAAGAAGGGAGGGCCTAGAAAAGCTGGCGGAAGACCCCTGTTCAGGGTCTTCCAATTTGGTGAAGACACAGATTTAACCATATATTAAATATATAGTATATTATTATACCTTGATTTACCTTGACCCTCCCAGAAGGGAATCCGGGTTTTCTGGGAGGTGTTTTCACACACCGGTCGGTTCGGTCCTGCTAATTACTTGGGTCAATTCGTCGACCTTGTTGGTTTTCTGTTTCGATTGTTCCGAATGTTGGCTGGGGAACCCATGGCAGGCGTTTGGACCGTTTGGACAGTGACCACAGATTGGTTTCATGGACAAGGGAAGTGATATTTCAGAGCCCCTACTCCAAACAATGCTGTTGTTTCAAGATTTGGTAGCGCAGAATATGCCAGAGGATGCTGGGTCAATGCGCTACATCCCCAAAACAGAAACCCAGCAACGCCCGACGATGTTCGCGGTCTCATGGTGAAGAAGCGTTCGACTGCTCGACGTGAAGGCGTGCGATGGTGCCAGCGCCAGCGCCCTGTTCATCTAGTGATTCTCGAAGAGTGGGCACTTAGAGTCCTAAAGCCGAATGATCCCTGGATTTGCTACAGGTCCTGATAAACGTTTTACTCTATATAGTTTTTCAATGTTTTTTCAGACTTGCACTTTGCACAATCCCGCATTTCCAAACGTATCACTTGAGCCTTACTCCACTTCACTTTCAGATATTTTGGGACTTCGGTGTCGCCTTTTGTTGTGCAAAGAGAAGATGATGAGTGGCCTTTGATCTCAGTTGAAGTTTGCTCCACTGAGGAGCACCTTCTCTTTGAAGTGGCCTATGTCAGAGGCCTGAGCCGCTCGCGTAAAGAAAGCGGCTCCCCCACAACTCCGCAGCTGCCGGGTCCAGGTTTGGAGCGGAAAACGGAGCCTTTTTTTGGCGCGGTGAGACAAAGAATTGACCCTTATAAGTGTATCTTTGTTTCCCTCAATATGTTTGTTTCCCATGGCCAGTTTGCACTGGCCATTTTTGTTTTTCACACGGAAGAGGCTCTCCCCCCGAAAAAAACTATGGACCCTGAACAAGGGTTTCATCATTTTCTCAAAGAACATGTAGATAAGTCACACTTGACCGCAGAAAGCTACATAGGAGGCCAACCCAGTGGCTCTTTCACTTCTTTCGGTCTCGGGTGATCAGTGTGATATGTGCCGACCCAAAAGGCTAATGGCATGCCAAGCAAGACATAGGATCTATGTTTAGACATTGTTTTGTCAACCACTCTAGTTGGGTAGGTCAAGAACATGAAACACACGATCACTATGAAGTTCATGGGTCATCAGAGGACCGGCTGGGCCCCAAGTAGATAGTCCAACTCAGTGTCCAATGCAATCTTGTTTTCACTGTTTGTTGACCGCATCGCCGCATGCGGCGAAGTAGCCTGGGCCTTTTGGTGACTTTCCCGAGCGAAGGTGGGCCCTGTCCTGGCAGAACACTTGGAACTGCTACTGCAGAACCAGTCGCTGAACCCGCACGGTGATGGTCGGGTCATTCCGGTTACCGAGAGTGGCCTTTCTTGGTAGAAACTGCATCAAACCGGTGTATTTATGTGCAGTGCAGTTAAATTCAGGAGGTCTGGTAAAAGTCTCGATAGACATGAACTGAGATTGACACCGGGAGTGGAGGGATGTGGAGGGTACGGGTGTCCATTGTTTGCTCACTTAACTGAAAACCACTCCTATGCAACGGCTGGTTTGTGTTGACGTCTCCAGAAGTACATCAGTATCACCTTCCAGGGGTCTACTTAAGTGAAACGCTTTGACTTTTGCTTTGAACCATGAGGCTCAACTAATGACTTCAGCTTGAAAAAGTATCAGAGGATGTTCTGTGTTGGCGTACCTGTTTCTCTTATCAGGGCCATACCGAACCCTGGTCTTCAGACCCCAGGAACGACCTAGTGAAGCGGATGCACGAGAACGTCCGGCGAAACAGGCCCGTGGATGTGGAAACGACGCGCCCAAGTCAGTCAACGAAAAGGACAAACACCAACCACATCCAACCACTTAAGAATCTTCAGAAGACCAAGATTGGTCGGAATGGTGTATCGATTTGAGCCTTCTTTTCGCGTTCGTTCTCGATGTGAGCGTTCCGGAAGGGCATTGTCGAACCAGCGCGTGCCTCACAGGTGCTGGTTCGACTACAACTCTGAGGACTTGGACACATGCCGTCACCGCCTCCTCGGTCGTTTGGGTACCGACCGCGGCCGTGGTCGTTTGTTCGACCGCGTCAGGATCCCAACTGCTCACCATACCTGGGCCTTCTGCGCTTCTTGCAGAAGAAGAAGGCTGCCATGCCGCGCTCCCCAGGCAGCCAAACTCCGAACGTGGGGAGTAGTTGGAGTTCGGGCTGTCGAGTGGTGGTGACACTTGTGGACTCACGAGAGTTGAAACATGCCCTGGGCTATTTCCTCTTTAAATATCATCGGGGCGTTGAAATCTCGGAATCTAGAAGGGGATGTCAAATATTATAGCAGAGAGTTTGGTCAAGAGAGAGTTCTGAACGAGGTTTCCAAGAGATTCTTCGACTATTTGGTTGATTTCTGTTTGATCATAATCTTGGACATTCAGGATGCATGGTTGGCGGCGGATGGGTCAAACCTGTGCAGACCCTGTTTGACCTGCAAAGTCAACTCCCCGTGGCACATGACGAGCGCCACCACACATCAACAAGCGCGGCAAGGAAGACGTTGGGACTTTGCATCGCCACCCGCCCGGGGGAGCGCAACACATCAAGCGCAGCAAAAAAGGAGTGATGAACAGCTGAGGTGTTGTGAGGTACTGCACCGTTTGCTAAGTTTGTAAGATTGCGATATGGGTCTTCCAAGAGCCTTCCGAGTGGCAATGCGCAGACAGCATTTGGGGGAGAATAGTACCCTAAGTAAGAATCCCGCGGATTTTCTGCGCACAGAATAAAGGTCAGGATGTGTTCAACAAAGATTATCCTACTGTTCCTGGGTCGATCATGCAAAGGCTTCAGCTCTACAATGATTCTAAAGGTGCTGCAACCATCGAGTCGAAACTGCTCATCGAAATTATGTAATCGTTTTGGGAGTTACAGTATATATCTGATAACTTACTTATAACCTTATTGCACGTGTGCGGTAATCTACTAACCACGATGTTTCCACTATTTGCAGAACTAATCCTTTGAAGACGAAGACTTGTTTATGGCCTCAACATGGCCAAAGCACCCATTTACATGGGCTGGTGCCCGGCGCCGGTGTCACAGATGTTGATATCATCAGTAGACATCCTATAATGACTATATTGACATCTGATCACCAGCGATGACCATTCGTGTGTTTGTGTGATGTCCCATTGTGGACATGTCTTCGCCCGCTCGTGCCCGTCTTATTTTCTCTCATCTTGGTGCACCTTCTGAGCGCCACACATTTGCAGCCCCAAGCATCAAGGGACATGTTCGGCACACTGATTCTGCGTTCTGCTCATGTACCGTCTCGGCACGTTCGGTGCCGTTCAGACCTTGCTGGCTCGAACGCGGGGTGGGAAACGTCGCCCTTTGCAGTCTGGCCATGCAGGCAGGTCGCAAGGGGCTGGCCTCTCCCTCCTCAGATTTTGGTCGGAAGTCGACAAAAGTGGTAGTAACCTTAGCAGGACTTGCTCTATTACATTATTATATCTACATATATGATGTCATTAATGTTATATTGCTTTTACAACATATTACCGTATATAAGTACAGTACACTGGCGGAGTTTGGAAAGCTCCTTGCTGTTGCAATACAGGCCATGATTGTGTTCTGAGTGATTGAACTGGCTCCCGGATGGTTCCGCTGAGTGTCTGACATGATGTCACTCTAGACTCTGGACCTGGGTATGGACATGAGCGTGGTGAGCACCATCCAAGTGGATGTTCTTCTCATACGGGCCTACTCCACCAGCCCTTGACTATGCATGGTATGCAGTACGGGTCCACAGTGAAGCCGAGTGAAGCCGATGGCCAGGTTTGCTTGGAAACGAAACTGCCAAAAGTGCTTTGGCTGCGTTTTGCGTCGGAGCAGGGGTGCTATGTCAAAACAGGGACGCCACAGTCACATGGGGCTGAAGATCAAACCAGCCTGCACCAGGAACGCACCAGAGGTGGTCAAAAAGGCCCGCACGCCGACAGAGCGAACTTGACCTTTGATCCGGAAGGAGCTCGGTGAGCGCCAAACATTCATTCTACCAGCGTGAAGTCCCAAACACGACCAATTACGTGTGCTTGGGAGCCGATCAGTAGCCCATGTTCTCGGAGTTTTGGATATTATTTCTAAAGACTTAGCCATTTGCAATGCTAAAAGGTGTCAAATGAAACCTGTTGTTTTGCAACTAAGATATGGTCCAGAAGGATCCATGAGGCTTATTATGTAAAACTATATAAATCTTATTGATTCTTACACCTTGCTCACATGAGAAACACGATGGAAAAAACAGCATGTTCAACGGCTCGACACCATTTCTGGGTTCCTATCTCGATGACGCCGAGGATGCTCTTGCAGCATTCAAGGTGTCGACCTCAGATCTTGGCGCAGCGGGTTGCTCACCCAACACCGTCCAAACAGTTCAGAGAACCTACCTACCAGCAGAGGTTGAAGAACCCTATAGCCCTATAGATTATCCTATAGGTACCCCTGGTTACGGGTCCTATAAGGTCACTTAACCTTTGTAGGTACCCTCCGTGCAACAATCATGAAAGTTGACAACCCACTCTTAGTAGAGGACAGTCGTCCTGCAAGGGGCCAGACATTCCACTTCCATGGTTGTTGCCAGGCTTTGCAATCTACTGTAAAGACCACATGAGCCAAGTGGATCATATACTCAGCAGCCTACCCAACAGTTTGGTAGTGACAAGGTCGTGGAAACTTATCCTCCTGTTCAGCTGGCTGAAAGCAACTCGAAAAACATATTTGCTTGAAGCATGCTTGAAGGGGCGACGCTTCTTCTGGAAGGAGATGGGGCTTGTATTAGCCAATGGGGACTTGCACTGGTCAAACAAACGGCAGACAGGTGAATTGGTTTACTGTACTAAGAGTGCCAGTCCAGCCCCGTCACTGAAACGCTGCCAGCAGGAAATGAGAACACGCAGCAGGGTGTTTTCCACGAAAGAGAGAAGTTACAGGCAACGTAGAGTAGAGGGTCTTTCAACATTGGTTGGTTGGCGAAGAGAGGGGATGCCCCCAACTGTAGAAACAAGATAGGTACTGATGCTATATGGTACCAAACCGACCCTCTATTATTCTGTCCTTTATTGGTCCTTCCGGCAAAGAAGTTCTTCCTGGCAAGTGACCGGCACAACACAGAGGCACTACAGATGAGAGTCGAGTGTCAATTTGGACTTTCAGTCAGCAGCTCACTTTTCACCCGTTTGGATTAGTTTTGCTCCAATCTCCAGTGACTTTTTCCTAAAGCTGAAGTGATCAGACCAAACCTGGGTCCTGGACTGGCCAGCTTTGCTTGGCTCACACGACTCCAACGTTTCGACTTGCCGGCGCCTGAGCAAATCAGGTTGGCACAGAGAGGAAGCAAACAATGCTTGAGGTGAGAAAAACGGGCGCGTCTTGAAGATGATTTCCTCGCAATCACTGAATTCAGACAGTTGTGAATCTCTGTGCGGATGGTGCGGACAGGATTTTGATGTGCAAAATGGATCTACTGTATTTAAATGGCGTGACCCGTGACCTAGTAGATTTGGATAGATTTGGGATTGTACATGTCCTTTTGTTTCTCAATCATTCCCTTTATTGGATGTTGAGGGGGGGGCCGTGCAAAATCAGAGGTTGTTGCTGCAACACAGGGCTGAACCAGGTTGCTTGCTAGTTCTCTAGCAGAGAGTCATTTCAACCGCTTGATCATTTGGGTTGCCAGCGTGTTGTGTAAGTGTAACGCCAATCATTAGACAATTGACTGACACGTTTGGCGCTGAGCTGGTGCTAATTGAGTTGCATGAAACGGCTCTTGCTTGGTACAGCACGGGAAGTAGAACAAGTTGAGGGGAGACCCTTTGGTTGAACCCTCATCGAGGCCCACAAGGCTTGTTCAGGTTCTCTACATGGAAAACGGTGTTTCTCAAACACATCATTTGCTCGGGTGGAATGCGTGCTTTATCTAGACGTGTTCCACTGAGTTCGACTTCCACCAGCTGGATGAGAGGCTTGAGTGACGAGCTGACAACCGAAGCCAACATGCACAGGTGGGACAGCCACGAAAAGTGGAGATGGCGGCCCCAAACAAGTGTTCTGCCCGAGCCCCATGAGCGTTCGCACCGTGGCAGATGCGATTGAGAGGTGCGTGATGTGTATATATACAGTATATATATATACATTATACTATATGTGTATGTTTTTTCATCCATGCATTTGGTATACCAACATGGAAAGTGCCCAAGGTGGCTGGGAAGATGATTTCTTCTAGTGGAATTCATTGGTCAATGTCACTGTCAGTACTATTATGGGTTCTCTCAGAGTACACTCAGAAGACTTGAGAGTTTCAGTTTTCATGGCTGGGAATCCGGACAGCCGCACTACAGAGAACCAGCTACTGTACCGTATCCACCCACTTCTTTCCTGACAGTGGTTTCAGAGTAGATGGCACAATCACCAAGAGGTGGTTTATGTGGACCCCCATCTAAAAGACATGTAGCGGGGTTTGTGCAAGAACGTCTCTCAGCGGGGTGCT